GGCAGAGGTGGGGACGATGTGGGAGGGGGTTTTTTCCGGGGAGGCGCAGCGGGGCAGGCCGGGCCGCGGCCAGCCGCCGCAAAGGGGAAAAACGCGGCGCCGAAGCCGGGGTGGACGAAAACAGCGGTGTTCCCGCGGTGCTGGGGTTGTTCCCCCGTTTCGCTTAATCGTTCTTTATGGCATGTGTCTCTGCTGACGGCGCTGTGCAGTTAAAAGCGGCACGGGCGTGAGAGCTGCTGTGTTACAGGGAAAGCTGCACGAAGAACTCGGGGTAGCAACGCGCCCACGGCGACGGCACCCACAGTCGTGACGACAAGGGCGGCGGCTGGCGTGGCGGGGAAAAGTGGCTCCGCCGCTGCGCCGCGTACGACAGCTTGTTGTACTGCGCCGTGCTCGTGTCCGCGGCGCTTTTCGCCGTCTCAAGTTCCTCTTGTGTCTCCTCGACGGTGGTGCCGAGAGCCACGCGACACACAACGCCCCACACTGTCTGGCCCTGCGCGGGCGACGGCGCGCACAGGGCGAAGGCAGCCATGTCGTCGTCTGGCGTGAGTGGCGTGGCGCGCCGCTGCAGGTAGCGGAAGCCGTCCTGACAGCATTCCCACGCCGTCGCCTCGTCCTCGCACGGCGCCCAGAGGTAGCGCTCGTGCACTTCATAGTCGTCGCTGCAAAACAGCAGCGCCGGTGCCTGCGCGACGGCGGAGGGCTGCATGAAGGTGCTGTGGTGCAACGCCACCATCTTGCGGCGGCACCGCCAGTACGTCTCCCACAGGGAAAGATGCCGGTTTTGGTACACACGCACCCGCGCCGCCGACGGCAATGCGGTGAAGTTGAAGTGGGCGACGTTTGCGGCGACCAGCTGCACGGGTGGGATGGGTCCCCGCACGGCCCACTGGGATGGGTAGGCGACGTGCTTGGAGAAGACGGCGACGTCTCCCAGGCGGAGCTGCAGGAAGCGGCGCACAAACTTCCTGGCGTCGAGGAGAGACCAGAGCGGCTCCTCCTTGCCGACCAGGTGGGACGCGACGGCCTCCATGACGCGGGCCACGTCCTCCTCGCTGCCAAGTTCACTGGCCTGCGACTGTTTCGACGTCGGGGACGTGGTGGGCGTGGCGCCAGCGGCTGTACGAGCACCGGCTAACAGCGGGAGCACCTCAGTGAGAAGCATTATGCCGAGGTCCACCGTGTCGCAACGCTGCCGCTCAGCGAGGGTGACCGGGGCAGGCGCGGACTGCTTGTCGTTGAGCGGCCCGACCGACCGCCGCAGCGCAGACGCATTGGTGCCGTTCCACGCCGGAGAAAACGTGCCGAGGGCTGTGTTGCCAAAGTCGTCGTACGTGAAGCTGCTCAGGCAGAGCTGCCCGTGCGCCAGATGGCACGTGTGGAGGCAAATGACGCACTCCAGAACGTCGTGCAGCCAGCGCAGTCCAATGGGCTCCACCTGGCGGCGGACGTCGTTCGAGGAGCGGAAGCGCTGCTGCGTCGCGCCGCGCACGTAGTGCACAAACAGCTCGTGGCGCTCGCGGTGGTAGAAGACATCGCGGGCAGAAACGATACGGTCGCTGCTGCACTGCTCGGAGGTTACCACTTCCTCGGCGACAATTGTGTGGGCGAGACGACGGATGTTGGCTGCCGTGGCGGCGTCGGGCTCGTCGGTGCTCGTTGGCGGGAAAGACGGGAAAGAGTACCGCTTCAACCAGCACGGCGTGATCTCGCCCGTGAGCGGGTCGTTGTACACCGCCTGTAGCAGGGCCATGCCGACGCCGTCTCGCGACACCACCGCGTCTTCCACCTTCCGGTCCACCTCGAAGCTGGTGAGAATTGTCTCGGCATCGTCGTCCTTCACCACCGTGGCGTCCTGGGATAAGAGGTCTGCCGGCGGCGTGGTCGACACCGCTCGTGCGGTGAAGGGCTCGAAGGGGTTGCTGGGCTCCTGTTCCACCCGACTGTAGTGGAGCAGCGTGCGCTCGCGCTCAAAAGCAACAAAGCGCGACGGCAGCGCACTTGGCGCCTCCGCCGGCCACAGCGCGACGGCCTGGAGACACGTGGAGGGGAGCCAGCGCAGGGTCGGCGTGAGCTCGGGGAAGTGTGCCGCACACGCTCCGCCCCACTCCGCAATCCCCACGTCAACCACCGCCATTTGTTTGTGCAGGAGCAGGAGCTGGGCTTGGTAGTCGTCCATGCGCCTCGCGAGGTCGTCGCTCGAAGCCGCGGAGGCTTTGCGCTCCGCATAGGCGAGCTGCAACTCGGAGAGTAGCGACTGCAGCGTATCTTGCTTCCGAGTCCACGATTTGCAGTACTCCAAGCATTGGTCTTGCTCGGAGGGGAGGGTGTGCATGGAATACTCCGCGGCCAGGGCGTTGCTCGCGGTCAGGCCAACTTCCTTGACGTCCTCCATGAATGAAGAGAAGCCAGGTGCGGTGCGCGTGGCCCACTCTTCTAAACGGCCATGCCACGACCCACGCGCTGCTTCACCAGCTGCGTCCAGCTGCTTGTGAATGCGCAGGAGGGTGTCGAGCGTCTCACGGCCCTCATCTTTGTGAGGACCACCACGGCCGCTCTCTGTCAACGCACCGTCGATACCGTCCTGTTGCTGGCACGCGCGGAAATAGCTCTCCGCCACTGCCTTCGCGGTGCGCCACAGATCCAGAAGGAACGCGAGTTGCTGACTCGTCTCTTCGGTGAAGACGGCGGCGACAATCGCACGTCGCACCTCCTCGCGACGCGCAACGGCCTCCTCTGCGGTCGACCAGCGGAAACCGTGGAAGACGAGCGGCGGCGATGGGTCCGCCTTCAAAGCCGCAGCGCTCTCCTCGTCTGCGCTTCTTCTCTCTCCCCTACTATCTCCCGCTAGCGTGTGGACAGAGATGAAGTACTGCAGGCGCTGGAAGAGGCTGACATCGTCGTGCAGCCTCGCCCAGGCCTGCGCGTCGTCGGACACTCGCACGAGTCCGGCAAAGGTGATGAGCTCCGCCGTGGCAGCGTACGCCTCGTGCAGGCTGTTCAGCACACGCGTCACGCTGCGCTGCCGCACGGCGGCCGTCACACCGCTGCCATCGATGTCGTCGTCGTCCTCCTCGTCCTCGTCACTGACACTCGTGGTGCCGTCGCGGCTGTGCGAATTGCTGTGGTGGGGGCGGCTGTCCAAGGGGCGAGTCGAGGACGAGAGGGAGGAGACGGTGACGTCGAGGCGGTGCATATCTGCCGGGGTGCCGGCCTCCAGCGTGAGCAGGCCAAACTGGTGCAAGTCGTTTGCGCCGACGTGGGAGTTGGTGTCGTTGCGGAAGAGAGAGCGGAGGTAGTCGACCACGACACTGCCGCGACTTCTGCGTGCGGCCGGGCCTCCACTTGCAGGTATGGCTGCATCCGTATTGTTGTGGGTCTCGCCACCGCGCAGCAGCGAGACGCAGTCGCCGTCCCAGCCTTGGCAGAAGGCAAAAAACTCGAAGTCTTTGTTCAGCTGCGCCGCCATCTCCGTCGATCCGCCACGGTCGGGGTGGTGGACGAGCAGCAGCGCCCGATAGATCTGCCGGCACTGCGCGCGCACCTTGACGAAACCCCACTTGCGCTGGAGCTGCACCACGGCGAAGTGCTGCAGCGACACCGGCATCTGCGTTATGTCGCCCGAGGCGCGGTAGTCGTCGAGGTCGTTGGCACTCTCCCACCCACACGCCACCCGGTAGTCCGCATAGTGCTGGACCACGCGACAGGTCTCCAGGGTGGACAGGTCATGGCGACGCTCGAGCAGCACCTCAAAGCGGCGGCGGGTGCCACGCTCATCAGCCGGGTAGCCGTACTGGTGGCGCAGCTGCAGCCGTGCGGTGAAGCGGTCCACGTAGTGCGTCACCAGCGTGCCTACACAGATGCCAAGCCCCACCGACAGCAGCGTGGCCACCACCAGCTGACCGGCCACGGGAATGCCACTGAGACCAACCAGCGCACCGATGCCCTGGCCAATGGCAATGCCTACGCCCGTCATCGTCAGCTCTTTCCCGATGCGCAGGGCGACGTCACCCTTAGTGGTGTGGTAGCCCAGTCGGTTCAAGTCGCCGTGGCGGTAGGCTTGGACCACCTTGACAGACTCGTACACCACGAAGGAGGCGGAGACGATGGGGTTGAGGATTGCGTTGCACGACAGCAGCAGGCCGTCCGCGATGGAGATGCCGGCTTTGCCCAAGCTAATAGCGACGCGGCGGGTAGTCGGGTTGAGAGGGAGAAGAGCGCCGCCGCTGCCTTGCTGCTGCTGCAGTGTGGCAGGGGGTCGTGTACGCACCGTGACGTGTGGGTTCCTCTGGACAAGAGCGGTGCTGGAAGCTGCGGCGGCTGACGCGCTTGCGTACGTTTGGGTGGATTCGTTTCCCGCCGTGTGCACATCGTCAGAGCTGCGTGTTTTTCCTACGCTTTCATGTTGTGCGGCGGACGTGGCAGCGGGCGGGGATGTGGTGGAGGGTGCCACGTGAGCAGACGGCTTCTTTGGCTCCCCACCCGTCTCTCGTTGATCGTTAGCCCTCATCTTGGTGGGAACTCTGTTATGTGGTTGCTGAAGTTAGCGAGAAAAAGCAAAGCATGCGTTTGTTCGAACAGCGCGAAATAAAAATAAGAATAAATAACGCTGTTGAGCAGAGAAAGAGACGAGTAACCCCCAAACCGTAGATCCACTTCAAAGGCAAATATTAATGGTAAAGACCCCTCAAATATATATATATATAGATATATGAGCGAGTACAGTGTACAGGAAACGAATGTATACTAATTAGGTAAGGCAAAGTACAGAAAAGCAAACAAGGTTTTTGGTTTTTTCTTTAAATACTATGTGTGCAACACAGCGCAAAGGGAAACCGCACGCTTTTGCCTCGTGGAGCGGGTCTCTCTGTGTGGGCGCGCTTGTATGAACGAGAACGCCAAAGAAGTTGCGCTTCCTGGGCAATGGAGACCTGAAGCAACTCTGTCCCTGCGTAAAGACGTACATGAAGCCGTATAAAAGGAGAAAGAAAGACACGACGAAAGGCGAGGTGGGAGTAGAATGGCGTACCGAAGAAAGGCGTAAAAGCCGGTTTTTTTTTTGTAGGACACCCACGCGGCACCGATGCCTCAGCATCTGCGATCAGCTTACGATTCATGAGAAGTGGCGCGCACAAGCACGGCGTGCGGCTTCGGATTTGGAGCGCCTCATGACTCGAACAGCGCTTTTCTTCTCTGTTTTCTTTTAAAGTGTAATGACCATAAAGGAATGACGAGGCGTAGAAACACCCAAAATCAAAGCAAATAGAAAAACAAAAGCAAACGGCAGCCGGCGCAGATACCAAGAGGTGATGGGCAAAAAGATTTTGTGCGTGCGTCCACTTGGCACGCGCGCTCTCCTCCTCTCTTACCCTCTTGGACTACTTCAACAAACGGCATTATCGAGTTAAAAGAGCTGGAGGAACAACGGTCGAGTGCGTTTCGACAGGACTGCGCATACGGAGTAAGCAGGAAAGGAAAACGAAAAGAAAAGACGCGCCCGCACGCACCACCGGAAAGCTGCCGAATTCGCTGCCGAGAAAACAATAACACAGGAGACTGCAAACCTGTCCGACTACGAGGCGTATAGAAAAACAAGAGCATCAACAACGACGATAGCATCGACTGTTAGAAGAACGTCGACGGCTTTTCATTTGCATTACACCGACGTGCATTTATGTCCACGCATATCACAAGGACCGAAGAACGAAACGAGGAAACTTCAGAAAGAAGAAAGAAAAAAACTCTCACAAAGACGGCGGGTAGCACCCACCACCGCCGGCCGTAAGGATGGTCATAATGTCGCCCATCTTCACCTCTATCACGTTCTTGCCGCCGATGTTGCGCGGGTGGTACAGCGGCTGCGCCTCCTCCGTCATCCAATCACCACGCGCCGCGTCGTGCAGCATTTCTTGGGCCGTCGTCCACCCATGCGCCGTAGGAGCACCGGCGTCAGCGGCAGCGGCACGAACAGGGGCGTACAGAATGTTGAGACCCCGCTTGCCTTCACCACCGCCAAACAACCCGTGTGGGGCCAACACACGCCGCTCCGTCAGCAACACCGCCGTCATGTCGCGCAGCGCCAGGACACTGCGCACAACGCCGTCGCCGCCGCGAAAGCGACCGACGCCGCCGGAGTCGCGCCGAACGCGGAACATCCGCAGCAGCACCGGATAGCGCGCCTCGAAGATTTCGGGGTCAGTAAGGCGGGTGTTGGTCATGTGCGTGTGCACCGCCGACGTCTCTGCGAAGCTGGGGCCGGCGCCGCTGCCGCCGCAGATGGTCTCGTAGTAGGCGAAGTCCTTCGCGCCGAGGGTGAAGTTGTTCATGCAGCCGTGCGAGTTCGCCGCGGCGCGCAGGGCCATGAGCACCACGTCTGTCACCCGCTGACTCGTCGTCACGTTACCGGCCACGACGGGGAGGTCATCATCGGGGCACAGGATGGAGCTAGGTGGGACGATGACCGTCACCGGTTTCATGCAGCCCTGGTTCAGCGGAATGTTCGAGTCGACGAGGCAGCGAATGCAGTAGATGATGGCTGAGTGCACCACGGCGGTGGGACAGTTCGTGGAGTTCATCACCTGACTGCCCGAGCCGGTGAAGTCAAACGTTGCTGCACCCGTCTCTGTCTCGATGGAAATGCGCAGACTAATGAGCGTGCCGTCGTCCATGTAGTCGGAGGCCTGCAGCGTGACAACTCCCTTCTCGCCCTCGTCGCCGCTTTTGCCGTACTCGCGCGCGATGCGCTGCAACACATTGCGCGCCGCCAGCTCCGCGGTGGTCTGGATGTGGCGCATGTATGCCTGCACCACCGCCAGGGTGTAAGACCCAATGAGACCTTTCAGCAGCTGGATGCCGCGGTTGTTGGCTGCCACCTGCGCACGCAGGTCCGAGACGCTGTCCTCGAGGGTGCGGCAGCCTGACATGCCGGGCAGCTTGCCCGGGGCGAGCAGCGCCTCTCGAATGCCCTCCTCGTTGAACTCACCCTCCTGCACCAGCTTCAACGTCTTGATGGCGGCGCCTTCGTCTAGCAGGGACTTGGAGAAGGGCGGCATCGACCCCGGCGTGGTGCCGCCCACGTCCGTGTGGTGGCCGCGGGACGCGACGTAAAACATCACGCGGTCCTCGTGGAAGTAGGCGGAGACGACGGTGATGTCGGGCAAATGGCTGCCACCGCAGGCGGGGTGGTTTGTCAGCATGACATCGCCGGGCCTCCACTTGCCGCCGTAGTGGTCACGCTGCCATCGAACGGCTGCCCCCATCGCACCGAGATGCACGGGGATGTGTGGCGCGTTCGCGACGAGGTTGCCGTCGGGGTCGAAGATGGCACAGCTGAAGTCCAGACGCTCTTTGATGTTCGTCGAGATGCTCGTGCGCTGCAGCGCGTTCCCCATCTGCTCTGCGATGGACATGAAGCGATGGGCGAAGATGGAGAGAGCCAGCGGGTTCAGCTCCGTTGTGAACTGCTCCACGACCTGCTCCGTGTGAATGATAACATTGCCTTTGTCGTTTGTGTAGGCGGTCGAGGCGTGCTCGAGCAAGACGCTGGTGCCGTTCATAATGAGCAGCGCGGGGCCATGCACCGGGCCGTTCGCAGGATCGACGTGGTACACAGGAATGTTCTCCCAGCCAGAAGCAAAGTAGCTCGCCATCATCGACACCGGCTGCGGGGTCGGCGTCGCGCCCTGGGCTGAGTACGGCGGCGCCTGCAGCGCCTTTTGAGCGGGCGTCTCCACCGCGACGGCGCGCTCGTGACGCTCCGCACGGCTCTCCAGTGTACCGAGAGCACGAATGCGGACCCCGTCGACAATGATGCGGCGCGACCCGCTGAGCACAAAGCCGTACTGCTGCTGATACTGAGCCAGGTATACCTGCTCAAACTTGGCCGCGCTGACGGCGTTTGGTGCTGCTGCCTTCTCTGCCGACGCCTCTGCTGACGCTGCGCGGGGATCGTCTTCGGCAATCATCAGACTTGTGTTCGTGCCTTCGTACTGCATGCTCAGGAAGCGTTCCACCACGGTATGCTCCTCGTCGAAGCCGATGCGTCGCAGCTGCGCCACCGCCGACGCGGCTAGCTCCACCAACTGTTGCTCCGCAATCGTGGCGAAGCCGTCGTCGCGCAGATCAAGCCGCACGCTCGTCATGCGCTCCTCCACCACGTTCGTCACGCTGGCACCGACGGCGCTGAGAATGGAGGCGAGGCGGTGAACGTAAATCCTGTTCATGCCGAGGGACCGGGCCATGGCACAGGCGTGTTGCCCACCCGCCCCGCCAAAGACCGCCAGGGCATGCTCAGCGCAGCGGTAGCCGTTTGCCTCGGTGATGTTGCGAATGGGCCGGCACATCGCCTCATTCGCCACCTTCACGTAGGCGAAGGCGAGCTCCTCAATTGACATCGGCGTGGCGTCGTGACGGTCGCGTGCGATTTCCTCGGCGAGTGCCCTGAAGCCGCGCAGCGACGCTTCCTTGTCCAGCGGCTGGTCCGCGTTGGGGCCGAAGACTTTGGGGAAGTAGTCCGCGTGCAGATGGCCCAGCACCAAGTTCGCATCCGTCACGGTGAGGGGGCCGCCTTTTGCGTAGCACGCCGGACCAGGGTGCGCGCCAGCCGAGGCAGGCCCCACGTGGAACATGCCGTTTTCCCACCGCAGCAGCGACCCCCCACCGGCGGCGACGGTGTGCACCTGCACCTGCGGAGCCTGCAGCGGGGTGCCCGCGATCTCCGCCTCCACCGTGTGGTGCACTGTGGCCCCCTCGCAGCGTGAGACATCCGTGCTGGTGCCGCCCATGTCGAAGCCTACGGCTTGCACTTGCGCCCCCAAGTCGGCGGCACACGTGTGCGCGTAACCGACGACGCCACCCGCCGGCCCGCTCAGCACCGCACGGTAGCCGTAAAAGGTATCCGCGCTGGTGAGGCCGCCGTCGCTTTGGATGAAGTACAGTCGCACGCCCGCCAGGTTGTGGGCGAAGTTTGCCTTGAAGGAGGCGACGTAGTGCAGAATCAGCGGGCTCAGGTACGCGTCGACGGACGCCGTGATGGAGCGGGGGACGTACTTGATGAGGGCCATGAGCTCGTTAGAGAGGGAGATGGCCGGGAAGCCGACCTCCTGCGCGATTTGCTTCACCTGCCGTTCATGCACTGCGTAGGCGTAGGAGTGCAGGAGGCACACGGCCACGCTGCGGATGCCGGCGTCGTAGGCCTGTTGCAGCTTTCGACGCATGTCCGTGACGTCCAGCGGCTGTAGCACCTCCACCACGAAGCTTTCCCCACACCGCACCCACGTGGAGGGCCACGCCGCGGGAGAGGTGTACGAGGCTTGCTCTTGGGAGGAAACCGGCCGTACACGCTCCTTCGCCATCATCACCTGCTCCGGCAGCGCGCGCACCTTCACGATGTTCAGCGCAAAAAGCTGCGGACGGGCCTGGTCGCGTATTGTGAGGATGTCATCAAAGCCGTCCGTCAGCACCATCGCACAGCGCTCGCCGTTGTGCTCGAGTAAGGCGTTGGTCGCGACAGTGGTGCCCATGCGCACCTCCTCCAAGTGCAACACGTCCACCGGCCCAGTGGCGGCTACCACGTCGGGGACGTACTTGCGCAGAATGCGGCGAATGCCTTCACTCGGGGCATCGGGGTAGTGCTGCGGGTCCACCGAAAGCAGCTTCGCCACCTCCTGCGTGACGGTGCCATCGGCGTGCGTGACGTGGGCGATGATGTCGGTGAAGGTGCCGCCACGGTCAACGGCAAAGCGAAAGGCAGGAAAGCGCGTCTCCTTTGCTTCGCCTGACGGTGACGGGTTGGACATGACTTTTCGCTCAGCACAAAGATCTGCACTTGCTGAGAGAATGCTGGAGGTGTACGTTGGCACGATGGGTGAGGCCCGCTGTCGGTGGAAGTGTTGCTGTTAAATCGATAAAAAAAACAAATAAATAAACGATCGATTCGAAAAGGCCAAAAAACAAGCGCAGGAAAGAGACGGCAGACCTTTTTGTTCCCCCTTTTTGACCTGGAAAAAAGAAGAAAAGGAAAACCCCGGAAGTGTTGGGTCGTTGGGGGCTGGGTGTGGTGGACGTTATCAAGTTATTTCGTTCTCATTTATTTCACGTTTGCAACGCAGTGTTGTGGAGGGTGGCGTAGCGCTTCGCATGCGAACCGAGAAAGAAGATCAGAGCAGAGAGCAGAGAGAGAGATAGAGGGGTGACAAGGGCAAGCGGAACGAGGAGAAGCACGCAGTGATGGAAAGCAATATATATATATATCAATACATATGAATATAATTGGTGTTGCGTTGCGACTAGTATTTCCTCGTGGAAGAGCATCGATAAAACAGCACGACAGCGTAGACGTTGAAAGTTGGCTTCACTACGTCATGCGTTAAGAGAGAATGAAGGGGGAAGAGGCTCTCAGGCGGTCGCTCATGCGAATGCCGGCATGCACGTTGGTGCCAAGAAGCTTCAAAAGCACAGCCAACGTCTTCGTCTTTCTTCCTAGCACTTTCAGGAAACGGCGGCGAAAGTTCCAAAAACAAAAGAATTCGCGTTTCAAGCTACTGCCATTACTTTTTCAGGTACGAAAGACGGGCGAGAGAGAGAGAAAGAGAAAACAGAGCTCTCAATGAAGGCTTCTGTGAAAAGCGAAGCATCTAAGAAAAAAGCTTAAGGGAATTACGACGAGGAAACGGTTTATCGATGTACTCATGAGAGCAACACGACTTAAAAACACAACGCGGCGGAGTAGCGAACACACACTCATCGAGAGAGGGAGAAAACTTTGCAGTACATCGCAAGCTCGACTCGCGGCGCACAAGCTCATCCATTCTTGTCTTTCCGCAATCGATGGAGCAGCTTCTTCCACCATCTCTGCGGAGCCGGCGCCAAATTTATCGCGTCGCCGCGCAGCTCCGTATTGCGCGACAGCAGCGGCGCCTGCCCCTCTGCCCTTCGCTGCTGTCGCTGCTGCCGTCGTCGCCGTCGCACCCAGCGCAAGACCCATCCCATACACAGGACCAGACACACAACGGAGACGCAGACGTGCGAAAGGACACACCACTTCATCGACTCCGACACAGAGCTGCGCGTGAAGACGTAGCGCTGGGCCACGCGACTGCCCCACGTCACAAACGGCACAGGAGTGGAGACGGGGTAATGGACGACCGACACAGTTGTGCCGTTCCGCAGGGTGAAGGTGGTGACGCCAGGCGGTGCTCCCGTCGCCGTCGCCTTAGTCGGCGTAGACGTCCCATCCGCCGCGTTCTGGATCTGCACGTCCCCGCTGTACGGATCCACCGCCGCGTCCAGATAGGCGGGGCCGTCGGCGTAGGTCAGCATGGAAAGCGGAAAGTTGAGCCGGTGCACCGGCTGCCCGTGCTGTGGGATGGAGAAAATGGTGAAGGTGACGTTGAGCGCCCGCTGCACGACGGCGCGAGCGGCCTGACGCTCCTCCACGGTCCGGAAAAGACCCGACGACGGACCGGCAGGTTTAATTGTGTCATTAAAGTAAGGACGAAGGGCGGGCAAGCGCAGCAAATCCACCGACAGCCGCACCATGCCAAAGTTCTTCTCCACGTACAGGGACAGTCGGCGCGGTGTGCGGAAAAACCGCGGGAGAACGGCTGGCAGGAGTAACATGTTCGCGCTGTGCGTCAGACCCGAGCTGGTGGCCTCCAGCAGTGGGTAGCCGAGGACGTGCGCAATCGTGTGCTCCGTGAAGTCGCCGCCTAGCTCACCCATGTGCACGTCACCGGTCAGGAGGGCAACCCGCTCCGCCTTGTAAATGCGAAGAAGACCCAGCAGGCGGTCTCGCGCGTCGGGGAACGCGGCCCAGTTCTCTGCGGGCTTCTCATCCAGCATGAACTGAATACCGCTCCCGATAAGAGTGACGGCGCACGGTTCCCGACCGTCAGCGGTGCGTGTGGTGAAGCGCTGGAGTTGCGCTTCGAACCACGCCCACTGCGCCGCGCCGAGCATATCGCCGACGTGGGTTGCGTTGGGCGGGTCACGGAAGGAGCGCACGTCCAGCAGAATCACACACACGGCGTACTCGTAGAGCTGATTCAAAAGATTCTCCAATGAGCGTCCCCAGCGTTTGGAGTCGTCCACCACGGCGTGGAAAGGCAACGTGTATGCCTCGTGCACCCCGGCACGCGTCCACCGCGGGTCCGTTGCAGGAGCCTTCAAGAAGTCGAGAAAAAACCGTTGGGTTACGTGTTTGTAGGGGTACTCTTTGCCTCCGTCGTTCTTGCCCATGTCATGATCATCCCAGGTGCCCCAGACGTTGTGCTGCGGCCCGGCAACCACGGCCGGCGGATCGGGAATGATGAGAGTGTTGGCTGTGTTGGCCATATGACCCAACACCTCTATCCGAGTTGGGGCCTGCGTTGCTGTGGTGACTGGGAGCGTTTTCCGCTCTTGGCGTTTGGCGTCTGCTTCCTCCGCGCCTAAGACGCGTACGGAGGGTTTAGGGAGTGTTTCATTGGAAGGCGATGCGGCAGTCGTCGTCGTGGCGACGCAGCTTGACACAAAGGCGCCGTACTCCGGTGCATCGCGCTGCACACGCCAGAAATGGCCGACATCCGCGAGGGTGTTCGTGTGGTGGAAGAACAGCGACTGGCCGTCTTCGCCGTCGGCTCGCTTGTCCGCGTAGATCGCGTCGCCGAGCCACAACGCCGCGTCGAGGGGGAGGGGGGCCGCCGTGACCGGTGCAACAGGAAAGCGCAAGGCTGCGCTACGTGCCGCCGCGTCGTCTGCCTTGACCGACGACAGCATGGACGCGCGGTGCTGGGCAGCGACGGGAGAGTCGTAGACGGAGCCGCAGGCGCCGAGGGGGACATCCGCCAACGACGTCAGCGGCGCCGCCTCTCGAAGCCACTTCTTTTCCTCTGCTAAAACATCACCACTGAGACTCAAAGGAGTTTGACCGGCGTAGAGCCGCCGGCATGGTGCGGCTGCTGCCCGGTCATTCCTGGAGAGCAGCTCGCACTGCGCCGCCACCGCGATGTTGGCCCAATACGCTTGGCTGCGATCATGGCGATTACAGCTAATGAAAAGAATCTGATGCATGGAGAGGGCGTGGGCGGGCGGCGCGTTCTGCAGGGCTTGCCGGTGCAGGGCCTCTTTCAGTTCAAGCCCGTTTCGAGACGCCGTCCACCACGCCGTGTCGGTCACCGCCGCATCGAAGAGCGTGGTGGCGGTGCGCATGGAGATGTAGAAGAACAAGAGGATCAAGGCACAGAAGGCAAGCACCGCCACCCCACAAGTGACGACAGACGTGCGATAACGGCGACGCCGACTACTGCGGACTTCGATGAACCGGTCTGGTTCTTCGCGCACGTATGAAGAAGTCCGCCACTCCATGATGCTGCAAAAGAAAAATTCAACGATCAAACAAACAAGCTGAAGAGTTACTAATGGGTGCCGAGAAGAAGATGCACTTTCCCCTCTTCATACACGAGGTGAGCGGACGGAACGAGGAAGAGCGAGACTCCCCGTCCCAATAGCAACAACAACAACAACGCTCTACTGAATGAAAGAGTTCGAGCGAGGGGGAGAGAAAAAGCAGGCCTACTTACTGATGGGGGCGCTCCTGACGGCGGTACATGTGTGTGTGTGTGTATATATCCCAAGTGCTGCGGGCGAAGAAAGAGAGCGAAACGAGCAACTTCACAGCAGCACCACAAACGCGGAGGTTGATATCGCACAACCGATTCCTATTAGGTACTATAATATGTTTATGCAGAAAAGATGAGACAAAGAGGCGATTACGTTCGAGTCACCGTGAAGTGAATGCGACCTGTAAGAGTAGAAAGATAAACGCGTCTTCCAATGCAACTGGCGGAGACTGAAGGAGAGGGGACCGCTGTAGAGGAGAAACAAACACAGAAAAACAAAGGAAACAAACAAACGTGAGAGCAGAAGGCCAAATATCCGTTGAGTCTCTCGTGAAAATAGAGGCGTCACCAGGGAAACGAATTCGAGGCGATGCACACACACAAATCAGACGAGTTTAAATATATGTACATATATATATTTTGCTGTTGAGCCAATGCTGCGCGTATATAACGAGAAGTGTTAGAACAGATGGTAGGTGGCATAACGGCACGCTTCAACACCACAAAAGAGAAAGAGGGAATAGAGAGAGAGAGAGAGAGAGAGAAATGAAAGGTGCCGACGACAGCATTTGCTTTCAGCTGTACTCTCTCTGAGAGGACGACAGAGCCTGCGTTTCCACGAAGCGAGGCCCACCAAAAGAAGAAGAGCAACACCACAAGAGCCCTTCTTTTACAGCTGTTATGCCGAATACAACGAATAGGAGAGAACGCTCTCGTCACGCAGGACGGAGGAAAATAAAAAAGAGAGCACTACTCCTGTCTGCATTCACGCTCGAGGCATTGAGACACTCAAGCGAAGGCGTCGAGCGAGAACCTCTCTAGGCCGTGCGTCGTGACGCTTCTTCCTGCTCAAATAAACAATCTCGTACGCGTACGTTTCACGTGTGCGTGGCGAGGCTTATGTTATTATTTTTGCTGATTTTTTGTTTCACCTATCTAGCCGATAGTGGTACGTACTCATGAATAAAAGAAGAACTTCCCTTTCCCTAAAGAAAGATCCCTTTTTGCCACCTTTTCGTCCTCACCGGCTGAGGCCCACTTGCAGCTTCTTCATGCAGAGAACAACAGCCGCATAGAAATTGGGCAAAGCTGAGCTTCAGAGCGGCACGCCAGAAAACAAAACGGGGAAGAGCGCAGCGCGAAGAGAGAAGGGGAAGTAATAAAACAGAACACACAAAACACACCATCAGCCGGGGTGCGCGTGTGCGGAGAAATAGGCGGTGAAATACGGGGAAAAGAAGAGGAGGAAGATACAAAATACAATGTGAGGCGGAGATCCTCGACGATGTTCGGTGTGCACGCACAGTCCCACTGCTGCATTACTCAAAAAAGAAAGACAAAATAACACACAAAAGAACGGAAGCTTGAAAGAAAAACAGAAATGGATCTCTATCGGCATTTTTCACTCCTTTCTGTTGCTTCGTTCAGCAAAACACCGTTTTTAAGTCTTGCAATACTCTTCTCTTCAATGCACTGAGAGGCGAGCGTTATATAAATAACACACACACACACACACGCACACTCACACGGACACAGTCGGCAAGAAGACGAATACTAGTCGGCGGCGGTGAAGCGCACAGCAGGTGGGGAATCCCAACTGCCGTTTACTTCGAAATGAGATGTTTCTAGAGGTACTGTAGCGAGGAAAGGGAGAAGAAGAAAACAGCAGGCGACCATCTTCGTGGTGTGACACATCAATAGTCGCCCATTTTTCTGCGCTTTTCGACGCACCCAACCTGGTTTCATAGACCAGCTACCGCCCTCATCATTTGCAACGGCCAGCCGCAGCTCGCCTTCTCCTTTCATTCCTTCTCTCATTCTTCTTCTTTTCAGTTACTACAGTCTAGCTTCTTTCTTTGGTATCCGTCAACGAAATTTAAGAGGGGGCCGTGACATAGATCCATATTTGAGCTTTTTCCTCTACGAAATAGATTTATATAGCTAGCTATATAAATTAAAACAAAAGAACAAATATATAAATAAGATAGAGGCTGATCGGGTGAAGCCAGAGAGTTTGTGCCCTCTCTGTTCTCGTGCTCTACTGCGAGGCGGAAAGCGAGGAAAGCACACGTGTGCGCACGCACGCAAGCGAGAACATGCATCGGACTTTGTATTTGTCACCGGAGGAGGGACGTGCTTGAGCACGCAGACAAGGATCACAACTGGCGTTCCTGTGTGTGCGTGTCAGCCTTCATGAAAAGAGAGAAAAAGAGAGCCAAATACGACAGAAGAACTCAAAAAAAAAACCTTTTTACTCATCGTCCTTGAGAGCTTCGTTCTTGGCGCGGGCCTCCTCTTCGGCCTCCTTGCGCTCCTGAATGCGCTTGCGGGCGGCGGCACGCTTCTCCTGGCGGCTCGTCAGCTCCGCGGCAGGCCAGATGGCGAAGCACATCACCCCAGAGAAGAAGACGGCGGCAACGCCGGCCATCACGAGCAGACCCGCCACGCAGCCCTTACTGCACTTCTGATGACGCACGTTCTCGTCCGTGAAGGTGCCGGGGGCCTGCGCCTCGACCACGTTCACAAAAGACACGGCCGCCACAAGGAAAGCCGCGATGAGGGTGTTAATGGAAGGCATGATTGCTTGCTTGGGTGTGTATATATTTGTAGAAGGGATGCGCAAACTCGGTAATGACTCTGCTTCAACGTATTTCCTTGACCGCAAACTTCGTGGAGAATACAGGGGGAAAGAGAGAAGAGATGAAAACGGACGAGAAGAAAGGCTTTTTCTTTCTCTCTCTTAATTGTGTAAGAGTGGAGAGAGTGCGGTGTTCGGTGATGTTAGAACCTGCCGACGTGGCGACCATGCAGGGAGAAGTGCGTGCGGGGTGGGGTAAAAGGCGGTGCGAGTGATGCAGAAAAGGCACAAGGAAATACTCGGGGGTTTTGACAGTTGAAGAGAGAGAGGAGAGGAGAGGAGGAACTGTGAGCGTTTCGGCACCCATACACACACACATATATATATATATATATACATCTGTCCTCCGTTGAATTGCTATGGACAAGGTGTATTGCATCTCTCTCTCTGAGTGTGTTTCTGTGCCGCTTGAGAGAGGTTTCTTCCCTTAAACCTAGGTGAAGGCAACGACTGGCAAGCAACAACACCAAAATCGAAACGGGAAGGCCGCCATATCTCCTCTTCTTCTTCTTCTTTTCTTTACTCTCAGGTGTTCAAAATGGAGTTTACCACGACTAACAAATGTGGAGAACGGAAGGAAGGAAAAAGAGAAGCCCTACTGCCAAAGAAACATGAGATCGAACAGTGGTAGCACGTACCACGCCACAGTAACCACCACAGCACGAAAGCTGAGAGTTGCGGAAGAGCCAGCGGCGCGGTAGCACAACAGCTTGCCACAACACAACCGACAAGTTCATTCAAAAAAAAACAGATTCTAAAAATAAAATAAAACAATTATCTAAAACAAAACTAGCGTCTATCTTCTGATGAAAGTTTTCTTTGTCGCTTTTGATTGAGTTACAAATTCTATCCATCATGCTGAGGAAAAGGGTTTGGGGCGAGCACAAAACCAAACAGCCGATGCATGAGCAGAGGCACAGGGGCTTCCCCCCCCCTCCCTCCCTCCCTCCAGCCCTACTCACCCTCTCGAATGACACGCTGCAGTTCATTGCAGATGTCCTGCCATTCCTTATTTTCACGCTTGAGAGTCTTGTAGAAGGCGCGGCACTTCTTCACCTTCGCCTCCGCCTCCGCCAGCTTCTGCGTCTGCTCCGCCTCCGTGCGCTGCTGCAACGCGCACAGCTCCGTGCTTTTGGCACGCAGCTGAAAGATGTCCTCATCAATGCGTGCCAGCTCCTCGCGCAGCTGCCAAAACTCGCGTTGGTAGGCTTCCCGCCGCTCCTGCGCGACCTGGCGACGGTGCGCCTCAGCCCCGGTGAAGGTGATGGCCACATGCACCGCGCCATCCGCCAGTGCATCGCGGGTGGACCGAAACGGGGACCAAAGACCTGTGGTTGTGGTGGCGACGGGGGTGGGGCTGAGCGCGAGCCCGTTCGGCGAGGTATGGATATCCGTTGACAAGCGCACACGTGTGTCGAGAACAAGTGGAGCAGAGGCCGCGGCCGCCGTCGCCGCCGCCCCAACGACACCCGGTGTGAGGAAAGTGGGAGCACCTTGGCGATGCCGCCCTTGATGGTCTCTGCGTCCGGGCTGCACTCGAGGGGACGCGGGCTGGGAGGAGGTGCGGGGGTGCCGTGGGGAGGGTGGCGCCATCGCACTTACGCGAGCACTCATGGTGGAGCTGCGCGTTGTCGCAGAGGAGCCCGCCGTGCCCGAAACACGCGGGGTGCCTCCACTGCACCGCAGCGAAGACGGGCCAATGGGCGCGATGCGTGACGGTCGTGATGTGGCCGAGTTGCCCTTCATGTGCAGCACTGCCGTTGCGGCACCCTCGTCTTCTCCCTCCCCTGCCGCTTCCGTCGTGCCTGTACCGTGCATCATGGTAGTCTGGCTGTTGTTCTTGCGACGCGCTAGCCGTAGCAGCTGCTGTGAGGGAGCATGGGTGTAGAGCTGCAGGGCCTCGCACGCTTTGTGGCTCAAACGAGGAGGAGCTGCATCCCCGTTCTGGTTTGGGTCAGCGAGAGAGGCACCCGGTGCGGAGTGGCGAGGAGCTTGGCCAGTTGTCGTGGTGCTGCGGCGCCCAGACCCGGCAGACGACCTGCGACGTGCCAATCGCGCACTGCGGGGTTTTGCACTGTCTTCCCGAGCTGTTACGTCTCCGCTGCCGTGCGTGCGCCGGTGGTGATGGCGCTGCTGCTGCGATGGAAGCACGCCACTACGCCTGGCCACTTCCTCGCCGAGTTCCTCCACCGGCGCGTCGCACACCACGTGCAACGTGCGACGGTACACCGCACAGGCTGGCGGGTCCCCGGCGGGACGCAGCGATGCTGTCACTTTCGTTTCCTCCATGCGCAGCACGGACGCACCGCGGCTGGATGCGTCATCGTCGTAGCGGCCGATGTCCTCCTCACGGCCCGCACTGTAGGCACTAAAGCGGCTACGACTGCGTTGGCTGCCACCACGCCGACGGGGACCCAACCACCGCCGTCGGCCCGCAGCCGTCGCCTCGTCCATCAGCTGCCACAGTGCCGCATCATCTGGCATCTCCGGCTCTGCCTCCTCCCACTCTAGCGTCATCTCCTTCACTCCCAACTCGCCCAGTTCCCGCGCCAGTGAAGTTTGCCGCTGCTTCAGTGCCACCATCTTCCGCTGAAGCGCCGGTGCGACGTGCAATCGGAAGACTTCGCGCAGCCGTGACGTCAGGTCGCGTCGCTGCTGCCGTGCGGCGGCGATGGTGGCCGCGTAGTCTCGCTGGATCTGTTGCTGCTCATCATCCAGGTGCTGGCTGACGGCGGCGACACGCGGGTAGGCGTAGACGAGGGTGGGCAGCAGCAGCGCGACAGACATAGGCCGGCGCAGCAGCGGAGAGGTAGAGGGAGGGGTACTTCCAGCGCTGGAGCGGCGAGCTCCGCCGCTACCGCCATTGCTACCACGACTGCGCCGGCCATGCTCGGGAGACGAAAGAAAAATCTGACGCGTCGTGCGATCGGACGAGTCCGTCGTGGAAAGGGGGTCCGCCTCGTCCAACAGCAGCAACGCCTCCTTCACCTCCTCTGTGCGTGACGGCTGGGGAGGGGTGGTGGGAGACAGCAGCGACTCGTGCGGAGTCCCTTCCATCTTCTCTCCTTCCGCACCATTCACTGTGTCGGACTTGCCAGAAAGTCCGTACTCCACCATGAGGCGTGTCCGCAGATCTTCCTCTTCTCCATCGGTGGCCAGCTCACGCGCGCGCAGCTGCACCTCTTCCTCCAACTCCCACGAGGTGCGCGACAAGCGGTCCAAATTGGCCAGAAAGGTCGACAAAGGCTTTGAGTTGAGATGCGCCTCCGTTGCGCCACCAAAGAAGCTGAAGAAGCCGTTGTTGCCGTCATTCAACCGCCGGTTCAGCGCGCTGTACGTCGGCCGTGCTCGGCGAGACGGCCCTGGTCGGCTGTGGCGCGTAGTAGGCGTGTTCTCACTCGGATGATGGACCCGGTTACAGCAGGATAGGGTGGGAGGGGGAGAGGGCAGCTGAATGCACACCTTGGCGAGCCCGTCCACTTCCATGAGAAGCTCCTCCAGGAAATCGTCCATAATGTCGCAGGTGTTGAGGGAGGCGAGCGAACTCACAGAGGAGGCGGAGGGGGAGCGCTGGTGCTCTTGCTGTTCCTGGTCTGGCGCTGCTGCTGCTGCCGCTGCTGCTGCTGCTGCCGTCTTTTCCGTTTGCCTCTTTGCTGCGTCGGCTGCTGGGCTGTTGGGGGCGGGTGGGGTCGGCGGGAGGGGCTTTGTGATGGGCGGCAGCACGGCGCCCCGCCCCCCGGACGGCGGAGGACCCAAGAGCACCAGCCGCGCCCCCGGGTGCAGGGATACCGTGGCGAGAAGGGCGTGCTCGTCCGTCCATTCCGGGTGCTTTGCCTCCGCCGCGGAAGAGACGGATACCGCAGCGCCGCCTTCTGCTCGTGCGGACACCGAAGTTGATTTCCCCGTCGAGGACGCGTGGAGCAGGTCGAGTTGCTGTCGCAGCCGCTTCAGCGCAAGAAGCTGACTCCGCGCCACACTCAGTCGATTCTCCTTGTCCACGAGCATGTCGTGGAGCAACTGGAGTTCCTCTTGGGTGTGCTGGCGGTCCCGCAGTCGGCGTATTTCCTTCCGCGCCATCGCAGCGCGTGCCTTGTGGCTCTCCGTGTGCTGTGCCAGCTCCTGGTGCTTCTCTTTCAGCGTCTTCAGCTCCGTTTGACGGGCTTCAATGACGGCGTCGAACCGTGCCATCAGCTGATCTACAGTGGAGAGACGTGCGCGTACATTTCCCATGCGATGGGTCAGCTGCTCCTGTTCCAGCTGCTGCTGCGACATGTGCGAGGTGGTGTGGAAATTGCGAAGAGGATCTTCCTCTGTGGGTCTCCGCGGCGCTGGTTCGTCGAGGGGCCCATCAAAGCCCATCTCCTCCTTCTCCAAGGCAACCACCACCTCTTTCCCATTGAGGGTGGAGGGGAGAGGCGGCGGTGGTGGTGCGGCGAGAACGGCGGCGACCACCTCCTGCACCGAAAGACGTTGCAGGTCTCCATTGGTCAAGAAGTCATCCAAGACATTCACGCGACAGCGGTCCGCGGCTGAGCTGCTTGCGGGGACCTCGTCTGTTTCCGCACGCGACGCGTTAAGCGCGACAGCTGGTGAAGGGGTGGAGGAGGCCGTCGCTGCTGGTGGGCACCGTGGGGTGAAGCTGAAGGGCGTGAAAGGCGTCTCCTCCGCCAGCGAATGCGCCCAGCGATGCATGGACGGGGAGAGGGAGGGCGAGGCCGACGTCCTCCGACGCGCTCGTTCCCTTCCCCCTTCTCCACCAATTGCAGCAGCAGACCCACCGCCGTTGCGCGCAGGTGTCTTGTTGTTCGCCTCCTCCGTGCACTCTTCCTCTGCTGCGGCTTCCGGGTCGGGGTCTGCCGGATAGTAGTAGTAGTCGAGGGCAAACTCACACTCCGCGTAGGCGGCAGAGGGTGGCGAGGAGGATGAGGTGACCGAATCCCTTCTACCGCCGTCCTTTTCTTTCCCTTCTGCGCTCTCACCTACAAATTCAGTCGGAGTGCGAATGCTCATACTTCGCGCTGTTGTCGTTGTGTGGCGCATCGATGGGTCCGCAGACGATACGGCGCGAGGAGCATCCTGCGTGGCCATTTCCTCTTCTACGAGGTCGCTGTCGTCGACCAACACAATTTGCCCACGACTGTCACTGCGGCAGCGGTCCACCGTATCCGCGTTCACCAACACCGCCAGGTCATCCGCCGCCACCGGTGCAGGCGCGGGCGCGCGTCGAGACGGCTGCGGACGCTGGTAGAACTCGTGTGGGCGGGGAGCCACACGCATCTCTTGCGGTTCATCGTCGTCGTCTTCGTCGTCCGCCCGGCGGGCGTATTCTCCTTCACGCAGGTCGATGCAGTCGTGTGGGTCGGGCCCGATGACGCGTGCGCGACGTGCGGCGGAGGCGCTGCTGCTGCCTGTACACCGCTGCTGCTGTTGTTGGTCTTTATTCTTGTGCAGGGGCCGAGACGAGGGAGTCGACGCAGACGAGGAGGCGGGAACTTCCTCTTCTTCAAGGGAGATGCTGTCCCCGTCGCTGCGCTGCGGTGACATTCGCGCCTCCCACCCCGTACCTGGATCGGGTATGTTAAACAGGGACACGGAGCGGCGTTTCTGCCGTAGCAGCGGCGCAACGTTGGTAGGGCGTACGGCCAGCGGGCCGCCATTTGGTCTGGTGCTGGTGCTGCTGTGCCGTGACCGACTAGCTCTCTCCTCTTCTTCTACTGCTTCTTCTTCTTCCGCGACCTTTTCCTTTTGTGCATGAGTTGCGGTCGTGAACGTGCGACGTTCGATGCATTGCATAACGGGAGGGTTGGAGTTCAACGGCGAGGGTGTGTGGCGGTGCGACGTGGAGGAGGTGGTGGTGGGGACATCTTCACCCGACGCCTGTGAGTTGTGGATGTGCGAGGGGGGCACGACAACACGGGCCGTCACGGGCGGCGACGGCGACGGCTCCATCTTGATGCGGATATGAATAGAGAAACACCGATAGAGCGCAAATGAAAGATATATGGCTCGTCTAGAGGTGGGAAACAGAGCAAAGGCGCGCTGCCTGAGCAAGAGGATCCTAAAAAGGAAAGAGGGATTTCGCCGCTCTAAGGAGTACGAAATGAAAAATATCTAAATAACAATAATAATAATAAACTGCTTTAAAGAAGGGGGGGGGGTATCGAATATGTGCATCTATTGGTGTGACCAGATGATGCGTCACGAGTGCAAACAGAAAGCGATAAAAGGTCTAATGTATAAATGCGTTTGAAAAGGTTTTTCTCAAGCGTCGAAACTCGCATAAACGCCACTTTCTGTGGCAACGTACAACTTCGAAGGCCTTTTTTTATTAACCAACTGCGCGCGGTGACCTCGAGGCACGCGGCTACCTCTCTCGCTGCATTTCAGAGCAGGAAATGAACGAGTTGTAAAATGAAAGAACGGGGAAGAGAGGTGAAAACGACATGAAAAGTGCGTTGATAAATACCACACACGTACGCCGGAGACGCGCCACCGCTTTAGAACTATATATACATATATATTTAAACCACTTCATTTGTCAAATCCAAGGCTTTGCGCTGCAGAGTAAGAGCGTCTCCATATGTTTGAACGCGGCTGCCGGTTCAGCAGAAAAGAAGAATGGATCTGCATTACTGCCTCCGCTCCGTCTCGCACTGCACCAAAGCAAATCCTCCACCGAACCGCCCGTACGTCGCTGACTGGCACCTACATAGATCGGTGGTGAAGAAACAAGAACCAGAAGCAGAAGGGGGCTTTTCAATTTCTCTTCGATTTTGGTGCTTTCATTACATCCAGTTCTTACCGAACACGTACCGGAAAAAAAAAAGTTTTCTTTTTACATCTGTACTTACACGTACACGACGAACAGAGGTACAGCAAACACCAACAACAAGGGAGACCTCTTTTCATATCCTGTCAAACGCTCTACGCCATTCACTTCTTCACCTCCGGCTTGTCTAGTTCAGCGTCTTGGATGATGATCAGCATGTACTTGCTGTCGGGTGCTACGATGATCTCGTCCTTCTTGGAGCGCAGCCGGATCAGCTGCAGCTCGTTGTTGCTATCAATCTCCTGCAGCACACTTTTCGCCTTCATGGCCAGCGACTGAAAGAGCGCAGCGTACTGCACCGCCAACTCACGCGAGGCTTCGGTGAAGCTATGGCGGATGGCGATGCCTTCGTTATTGAGAATCAGAAAACCGCGCACGCCGCGGTGCGACGTGATGCGCTTGACGAGCTCCTCAATATCCGGTCCGGTTCCCACAGCTGCCATTGTGTGTGTGTGTGTGTGTGTGTGATCCTTCTTGATGTTTTTTAAATGTATATTGCGTACGCTATGAAAGCGGTATAAATATCGCACCGGGACCTAAAAGACGTATTTCTTCTTCTTCGCTGGTGAGATCTATTTGAGCAGACGAGATGTACCAATAAAGACACAGAGAGAGGTGGACAGAAAGACGGAATAGCGTGGATTTACCGAGAAGGCAGCCATCGTACGATTACAAAGGAGAAGCTTCAACTTCCATACACACACAAACGATTTCTTGCCTCAATACAAACCGTTATCGAGAACGGCGGTGAGCACGCCTTGATTGGCAGAGATTAGAGGGTTGTACAACACGACACAGTTATGTGCCGGCACCTTTGGTCTGCCACCCCCCCGCCCCCCACACCCCATCCGTTTGGTATTTCCTGTTTCATATTTCGAGTTTTTTTCTTCTTCTATTGACTTATTTAGTAACAAGTTTTTATCGAACAGTATCTGCAATGACAAGGAGCCTTACTCCTCCTCCCCCCAAAAAGAAAACGGGGGCGTAAAAACACAATTAGGAAACCAAAGCGGAAGTGGGGCAGTGAAACGGAGAGGTGCCTGCGCCGACGGCCAAATCGGCAGTTGCGCGTCTTTCAGTTTTTATCTTTGCTTTGAGTGCTTTTCCCCCCTTCCGCGCCATCTCCTTTTTGAAAGCGCCCGAATCGTCGCCCTCCTTCTTGATTCCTTCTGTAAGGTGGGACGCAACGCAACGACAGAGAGAGAGAGAACTACCAGCTCGAACTCAGAAGAATAAAAAAAAGCCTCAGCGCCGTCACCACCTCGAAGACGTTTACTTCCTCTTAAGGAAGGAACGCAACACGCAAAATAAATAAAAGAAAGAGTAGAGAAACAAACAGATAACGCTCCTCGGTAAAGAGCAAGAGAGAGAGAGATCGGTAGTAGTACGTGTGACATGAAACCAAGCGTGCGGCTCCATCGATCGCCAGAGTATGTGTGTATATATGTATATGTAGATGTCACCCTTTCCTTCGGCACTCCTTATCAGCACACGGACCAGCTTTACGAGAGAGAGTCGCAACCGTGCTGCTCCAGAAACTGAACATCACTGCCCAGTTTGGTGAACTCAAACAGCAGCGTAAAGACCACGCCGTCCATCACGGCAACGGAGATGTTTGCCGGGGCGCCCTTGAAGAACCCACGGAGCCCCTCCTTCCGGACGAGGTCGTTGGCGACGTGGTAAACGCGACGGAAGGGCAACGACGTCTTCCAGCTGCGGTGGTGCGGCGACGCCGATGCTGACGCTGACGCTGCTGCCCCTGCTGCCCCTTCCGCGTTCGCCCGTTGCGCGGACTCTGTCCAGAAATGCGGCGGCAGCGACTGCTGACGTGTTTGGATCACCGCAATCGGGTTGAAGACAAGTGTGGTGCACACACTCGCAGCGACGCCAGCAAGCGCATTCAGCAGCGGATTATCCGTCGGAGACAAGAGCCAGTTTTGCTGCCAAAATGAGGCGGGAGGTGCCAGCGGGGCTGCGCCGTCACTCGTTGTTGCTGCTCCTGCGGCGGTCCTTTCCAGGTGTTCCTGTTCCCACCGGGACAGCGTCGGCGCTGCGACGGTGTAGATCGCCTCCTTCGATTTCGTGTAGATGCCCCACCAGCATCCACTGGATGGGATGCGCAGCAACCCCGCACTCAGACCTTGATACAATCCGCAGAAGCCCCGTCGGATGCGGTAAAGGCGGCTGATCGAATTAGCCGGAGCAGGAGTCGCCTGCGTCGCACCTGCCCCAGCGGCTGCGGAGGCGGGGGGCGTGCCGTGCTGATACAAACCCCACACCGCGATCAGCGTGCGCGGGATCGTCATGTAGCGGTTCGATGCGGCCATGCTGTAGCCAGCCGTCATCTGCCTGTTGCATACAATCACCAGCGGAGAGACGAGAAGAAGGGCGACGAGGTCACCGCACATCGCGCCGACGGCGGCAGACGAGCTGCTGGTAGCAAAAGTAGAAGGTGCCTCACTCTTCAGCTCTTGGGTACTGGAGGAGGAGGTGGAAGAGGACCGTGCACCATCTGTGTGAGAGGTACTATTTCCACTGCCAGACGATGTGGAGCTTGTCACGTACTCCTTTATCGCCTCCAGCGTGAACAAATAACTCGTTTCCCCAGCCAGGTTGCACAGAAGCGCCGCGCCCACACCGCGGTAAAGTCCACGAGCTCCCCCCTTGCCAAAGTCGTACTGACCCTTTGAACAGGCAGGGCCGTAGGCGGATGTGCGACCTCCGCGGTAGGCGGCCTTCATCAAACCCCACACGGTGGGCGGGGAGCTCTCTCGTGTCACTCGCTTACGACTAATGGCGAGCTGAATGGGATGGAAGAGCAGCGTGCGGGCGGCGATGTTGGCCGAAAGGAGTCCGAACCACGTCGGGGCGTGCAGGTCGGAGAAGTTGCGGGTGACAGCGTTCGTTGAAAGGCTGGCGGAGACGGGGAGCGTGGGGGAAGCCGCGATGGGCGTGTCGCTCGCCAAGGGGGGAGAGGCGGCAGCAGCAGCAGCAGCAGCAGCAGCAGCGCCGGTGGTGGGAGAAGAGTGTGCCTCCATGCCAAGAAGGACAATAGAAGACGAAGCGCCAAACAACAACGGCAAGAAGGAAAGGCGATGCAGTTCTCGGCGTCTTCTGTTTTCGTTCGCTGCTCCGTATGCCTTCCTTAATGGAGGATGCTTTCGAGGACGTCAGCGTGTCGGCGAGAACAACTGTATCTGCTAGTCCTAATGCTCTGACCGACTTCCTGTGTCTTGCCGCTCAAAGTCGGATGCGAAAAGTTAGAGTCGTGGAAACAAAGAATGAGGCTTCTGTGCGTGCCGGTTCGCCTTCATTTCATTATCCCAAAAAGACTTAAATGAGCCACACACCCACACACCTGCAGAGATACGTGTGGACGCTTCAGAAGGTCAGCCTTCTCGAAAAAGCAACAACAATAATAATAATAACGCACACGACACGACAAAGAGAGTTTAGGGGGAAGAAGAACACGGCGTGCACTGGCAATGGAAGTGACACAACCGAGTTATGTAGCACGAAACACTGCGGTCGCTTATTCCCGATTGTGCAACAGCTTTATGACGCACCGCTCCACAAAGGCTAGAGCCCGAAGTCTGTTCCGTAGTCGGCGTGAGAGTGATGACAAACGGGTGTATAGAGGTGTGTGTATGTGAGTGAGTGCAATAATGGAAAGGGAACACCCGAAGAAGATGGGAAAAAAAGGAAGAGACGGTGTGGAGAAAGAACTTCTGTGGGAGGAAAACAACAAGGTTTATTCGATGGAGGATGTGATGAGTTAGACCCGATTTACGATCGGACCTCAAGTAACAATAATAATAGAACAACAGCGTAATGAGACACCCACGCGATCGAAAGCGACCGTTCACCCGTGTGAGCCGTTTGAGAAGGAAAACCACACGCACACGCACACAAAGAGAGCCCTTGTTGCTCACCTTTTCACCGCGTGAGTGTGTACGCTGTACTGCGAGAGAACAGAGGAGGATGAGAATCCGTAAAATGAAAAGGAAAGGGGAAACAGGACGGTCGAAGAGCGGAGAACCTCGAGCCGGGCGTGGTACCGCGACGTCGCCGGTTGCTCCCTGTCGTGTCCAGTTCCATACACACTCCTGTATTCGTTTGTGTCAAGGCACCCCCCCTCCCCGCGGTTGAGAGTAGAAGTTGCTGAGGGGAAAGGCACAATCGCATCGGATTCAATGGAGAATAAAAGCGGCCAGAGGGTTTCTTCTTGCGTGGCCTTGCCTTTAAACTGTCTTCCTTAAAAGATGTTCTTCCTCCTTTCTCCTTTTTGGCATCCCCAGTGGAATGCGATGTATGTGCCAAGAGGGACTACTTAACACAGCCAAGTCCCGGTGCTCAGCGGCGACGTGTGTGCCGTGGAGGGTGAGAGCGGGAGTGAGCCGGAGAGACACAAAGATAGAAAAAAAGGGGCTTTAAACCAAAAAGCGCACCGCGTCCTGCCGTCGGTTTACTTCCTTGGCAGCCTATCGCGGGCAGTTGCGTCTTCACTGAACACCTTTCTCTTTTTATCTTATCAAGCAAAGAGAGAACAGAACAAAGAAAACAATGATGTTCGCCGCGGACCTACACCTGCATATGTATTTCTACATAGATACTTATTTCCCCCTTTACTTATCGTGTTGATACTCTTCTTGTTTCGCGCCCCTCGCTTCACGGGTCGCGCTACGCCGGGGATGGCAACGCCGTCGTGTTCTCCAGCACCGTACCATCTGGAATGACGTATACCTTCTCCGCGTCGGGGTTTTCGATCTTCACCTCGCCCTTCAGCACATTCTTCGCACCGAACTGCACGAGACCCTTCACGCCGACACGCTTGCAGTGCACCATGGACGGCACCCCACGCTCCACCAGCTTCGAGAAACCCTTCATGAGTTTGTAGTGCTTGCTGTCGAGGTCCACCACCGGGGGGCGGCCGTTGCAGTGCTCATCCAGCACCAAGCGCGAGTCCGGCGTGATCACGTACGCGTCCGAGCGCAGGGCGAGCAGGTCAGCGCAGGTCTTCACCGGGGCGAAGCGGCTGCGCGGTACGACGATGGCCGAGGCGTGGTCGAACATCGCGATCGCTGCCCCCATGGCCGTCTCGAGCTGAAACACCTTCGGCGACTTGGAATCGGACGGATCAACCGTCTTTTCATTGCGGATCACTGGCAGGGGCAGAGTGCCGCCGTGCTGCTCCATCGTCTCCATCAACGCCGGCAGGCTGATCCACAGGTTGTTCGTGTTAAAGAAGGAGTACTTGCGGATGTCCTGGAAGCTCTCCATATCCTCCTCCGGGCACTGCGCTGACTCCCGCAGCAGCAGCACCATCTTCTCCGTCGCCGGCGCGCCATCCTTGCCGGGCGTCTTCTTCGTTTGGAGAGCCAGGTGGCCGCCCTTCTTGTCGCTCTCGGTGCGCTGGCACACCTCCATCAGGAAGTCCACCGCGTTGTTCTCCATGTAGGCGAGAATGCGGCTGTCCAGGGTCGCGCCGAGGTTGTCGCCGTTGCTGACGAAGAGGTAGCGGTAGCCCTGCCGGAGCAGCTCCCGCAGCTTGCCGCTGCCGTAGAGCGCGGTGTAGAGGTCGCCGTGACCCGGCGGGGCCCACTCGCAGGACGGGTCCGTCGGCCAGGTAGCCGGCTCCAGCGTGTCTTGCAAAACCTTCGGCACTTGGTTCTGCATCAACTCCACCTCCGCGTCGAAGGCGTCGTACAGCCACGGGTAGTGCTGCTTCATGAAGGCCTTGGTGCTCGCCGAGGTGCTGAAGCTGTCCATCAGCATGAAGCGCAAACGGCTGCTGCAGTTCTTGCGGAGGTACTCCATCTGCATCGCTGTGAAGTCCAGGAAGGTCTTGCCGTCCTTCACCTCCAGCAGCGTCTTGGCGTCGTGCAGACCCATGCCGGTGCCCAAACCACCGTTCAGCTTCAGCACGACGGTGCTTTCCAAGATGGCGTTCTCGCACTGCACGGTCAACTCGTCGAGCGAGTCCAGTTTCTCGACCGGCTTGATCGCGGAGTCGGGGATGGAGCCGGTGGCGCCGGAGCTGAGCATCTCGTGCTGACGCAGGAAGGTGCGGATGCACGCCTCGTTGACCTTCTCTGCCTGCATCTTTGTCACGCACGCCTGGGCTGCGGCGCTGAGAGACTTCATGTCGATATCTTTTCCAGACATGTCAATCTTTTTTGGGTTTTGGGGTAAAATGAATGTCTTTTGTTAGGCTTTATGAATACGGGGGAGGCAGAAGGAAAAAAAGGAAAAGGAAACGAAAAATACGGTGGGTGTCAACGAAGGTGAGTTTTACTCAGTATGTTCACAGAGAGACCCCACCCCAGTGTGAATGCAGAAGGAAGAGAGAACGGAGGAAGATGTCTTTTTTGCTTCGGTTTTACGCGTGAATAGATGTGCATATATGTGGTCAGTGAGAGAGCGTGTGTGTCAACAAAACCAATAGCAATGAAAGCAATCGCGATAACTACGGCAACGCTATACGTGTTTGCTGGTTCAATTTTGAGCCGCTGTAAAACAACAACAACTGTCCGTCACTGCGCCCGGCCACAGAAATAACACAGGCAGAACGCACTGTCGAAATGATAAAGAAAAACACACACACAAGGGGAGTTTGACGATGCACCGATTGGTGAAGAGAAGAGTCGTGAACCCGTTTAGGAGTTGCGGATGTGGTGGAGAGTACAGTATGTAATCTGTAGAATGTAGAGTAGTCGTTGGATTCACGAAACACGCGCCAACAAGAGCTCATATATAGAAATAAAGAGGAGAAAAGACATGCAAAAGATGGGGGAGAGATAAAACAAGAAAGTCAAAGCAGTCAGCTTCGTTATTGTAGAATCACAGGCCGTTATACTGGTGATCCGTGAGGTGCTGCGTGTCGCGAACGCTGTGCGGACCAGCAGGTTTGCCGCAGCCACACCACCGCATTGCAAGAGCAGCGAAGTACGTTTTTTCCTCTTCTCTTTTTCTCTTGTAGAGCACGTCGAGTAAGAGAGACCGTTCAGCAGTGGACTGCAACAGCCCCTCCCCAAGGTAGAATATATATGCTGCACTGATAGTGAATTTACGCAAGAAGTCCTTTATGGTAAATTAATCGAGTTTAAAGAAAGCAACAACAACGGAGAAACAGACGAAAAAGCAAACGAGACAGCAGCAACGCACGCATCGAGAGCAGCGAGGGACACATATTGCCTACGTTGACACCTTCGTTATTTATTCCCCTCGTCTTCTGCAAAGCACGGCATCACGGTAGAAGAAAGAGAGAAGGAAAAACAACAACAGCAATCTATTACCCGGCCGAGGTCGAGAGCATTCGCGCTCACATTGTGAGATGGGCAAACATGCGCTGCAGCGCGTCCTCGTCCACATCCTCTACCTCGTCTTCCACATCTTCCCAATCCGCGTCCTCCTCGTTCACCCCAGCCGCCGTTCGCACCGCACGCACGTTGTCACGCTCGTCGATCAGCCGCTTCAGCTCCACCTCTACGTTCTGCAGCTCCGAGGCCTGCTTCACTTGCTGCTCCTGCTTGAGTTGGCGGATGTACTTCGCGAGTTCCCGCCGCTCCGTCTTGGCCGAGTCGCCGCGGCGAATGCGGTCTTTGCGCGCTTCGAGGTCACGTAGGTGCTCCTTCAGCACCATCCGCTCCACCACCTGCTGCTTCATCAGCCGGCTCTTCGTTTTCTGCAGGGACTCCACTTCAGAAAAGCTCTTCTGCTGCCTCTTTGCTACTCCGTTGACGACACGCACGCGGGTCGGTGCGAGTCGTGTCTTGGTGGTGTGCTTGCCGGCACCGGTGCGCAGCCCACTGACGGCTGCAGCGGCGCTCGCAAGCGGGGACGACTTCTTCGCCATCTTCATCTTTTTCTTCCGCCCCGTGCGGTGGCTCTTCGCAACGCGCCGGTTGGCCATGATTACCTGTGCCTTGTGTTTTGTGCTTCTCTTCGGGTTGCTCACGGAGAGATGTGAGGAAAGACAGAGCAGACGAAGAAAGAAACACATCGAGCAGATGATACGTACATACAGGGAGAGAGATGAGCCATGGACTGCGGAAAGATTGTTTCCATTGACACACGCAGACAGCGAGAAACCGGTGCGACAAGCTCACGACGCCCTTAACGCACGCAAGAGAACCCAGTCAGCACTGCGAAGGTGATGCGCGTAGCACGCCGCGAGTGATGAGAGTAACGAAGAGGCAACCACGCACACACAGAGGGAGGGAGAAGGTCTCTTTCTTCTTGTTCTCGTTACCATTTTCGCATCGCGAGTTCCGACGGAACAGAGAACACAGAAAGCGAAAACCCGCGTAAAAGTTCCGCTTCTACGAAGTACGTACATCACAGATCCGCCACGCAGCGACGATACAAATGTGTGGCAGAACAACACATCAAGAAGAAAGGAAGAAAAACAAATAATGGCACATGCGGAGAGAAACACGAGGTGGCTATGGTACAGAAAAGAAACGCACACCCACACTTCCCATCCTGCTCCCCCCCCCAATTTCGACATCAGCAACAGGAAGGGAGCAATCGAGGTCACGCCGTAAGCCCAAAAGACCGCGTTGGTGCTTGCCGCTCCGACAGCGAAGGCAGTCGCGTCGTGGATGCAGGAGGCAAAAAGGGCGAGGCCGACGGTATGGCTTTCGCTGTGGGCGAGAGCGACCAGTTTGCGCTGCGGTTGGTGGCGCTACCCCGGCTGTCGGGCCGCTTGCCATCCGTAAAAGGCAGCTCCACCCGCCCCAGGCAGCGCTCGTCCGCGTTACGCGCCAGCTGAGACGTCGCCGTGGTGGAGGGGAACGGGGGCGGAGATGAAGAGGGGGAGGGGTGGGCAGGGGGAACGTACGTGGCGGCGTGACAGCGGCGCGGCGGCGGCGTGGGTGCGCGTGGCGGAAAGGTGGCCGCCGCCGTTGTCAGCGGATGCGCACCGCGACTTCCCGCCGCGTTGGCGGCGTCTGCAGGCAGAAAGGCAGACGAGAAGGAGGAGGAGGACTTGGAGGACGCCCACGAGTCCACCCGCCGCAGCGGGGAGGAGGCGGAGACAGGTGTAGAGGGCTGCTGGTCGGCCACATCGTCACAAGCACATGACGGCATCGCTGCGTTCGCCGCCCCTTCGTCTTCGATGCCGTCCACCAGAGGCGAAAGGGCTAATGAGTCGACGCGGTCCGCAGCGCCCTTGTTCGGCGTGGTAATTCTTTCCTCTTCCCCCTCCTCTTCCTCATCGGAAAAGACGCACATCTGCGATGACCGCGATGACAGCGAACCGGCAGGGCCCACCCCACCGTGGCTCGGTGCTGCTGCTGCTGCTGCCATCGAGCATGGCTTTTGAAAAGGCAGGAAGGACGAAGGCAACGACTGAGGGGCGACGGTGTTGCGGCGATCGGCCCGGATCGGAGGAGGAGCAGCCACTAGCAACGAGCTCATCCCTTCCGACCCTTTCGAGGTCACCGCGGACGTCTTTGTGGGCGTTCCGGACACCGTCACGCGGACCAGGTCCGGCACACGCAACGGGGAGTGCGACGGTGTACCGGGAGAGCTGCCGCCGTTGCGAAAGGATGGCCGGTGCAGATTTGAGCCTGGACCGCGTGTAGTGACCGGTGTGAGGGTGCGCAGCAGCGGCAACGGTGGGCCGCGCGGGCGACGCTTCGGGCACGGCAGCGCCGTCTTGCTCTTCACGTCGACGCGGGTGTAGCTGTCGCTCGGGGCCCGACTGATGGAGACGCTGTTCGTCAGCGGCGGCGGCGGCGCGAGCACGGCGGAGGGCACCGACTGCGTCGCCGAAGTGGCGGCGCTGCTGCGGAAGGACGGCGTCATGCGGACCCGAATGCCACCACCACCAGCAGCACGTCGCTGCGCGGGCGACGGTACTTGTCCCGTGGACGTCGCGATGCTGCTGGGCACCTCGTCCAGGACGATCGGGGCGTGCACTGCGCTGTCGAGGTGGGAGTTGATCGCACTGCCCTCCTCCGGTAAAGGCGGCGAGCCCGGCGTGGCGGCGTAGAGGTGCTGCCCGTAAGAGAGTCGGGGGCTGGTCAGGGACTTAGTGTCGCTCGGTCCGTAGGTGGTGCGGTGTTTGTAGGAGGTCCACTCCTGGTAGAGGCGGTGCTCGTTCAGCTCTGCCTCGATCCACGGATTGGGGGCACGGCGCATCAGCTGCACCAAGTTGGCGTGGCGCTGTCCCGCAGCGGGGTTCAACATGGGGCGGCTCAGACACGACAGCGGCATTGACTCGTACAAGGCAATAATGTGGCAGCGGGCGGCCCGCTCGGCGGCGAAGAGGCGGACTGCCTGCCGCATCGAGGACGTGGAGGACATGGCGAGCAGGAGGGGGGCAAAGAGAAGCGGCAGCTGCTGCGCCACGATGTACGCCACGGCTTGGTTGACGAGGGAGGGTGTGTGCAGCACCGCCTCCTGCTCGGCGAGCAGCTTTCGCTCTAACTCCACCCGTTCGGCCGATTCAATGCGAATGATGAGTTGAAGGAAGGCATCGACGACGTCGTTGTCCGTGACGGTGGCAGCAGGTAACAGTTCCAAGGCCTGGTCCGACTGGTCACCCGAATCCGCCGATGAAGCCGCGGACGCCAACGCCCCGGTGAGAGCGGCGTGTTCTGTATCGCTCTCTTCATTTTTGTGTACTGCTGCGGCGGGTGCGGCGGGCGAGCTGTCGTCCACGTGAAGCTCAGCCGACCCAGGCAAAAGGGCAGACACGGTGAAGAAGCTCATATGTGGGTCTGGATTCTTTCGCGTGCGTCGCGTCGTGTCCAAGTACGCGTACGACTCGAGCTGCGAGAAGCCCCTCAGCTGTTGACGCAGCGCGTTGAGTCTTGTACCCGCACCCACGCCTTGTCCACCACTACCACTATTTGCGTTGTTGCTCCTGTTTCCTTTCATCGCACAGGTTGGTTTGAGGTGAAACAGGTCCTCATTGCCGGAGGCCGCCGCTGCGGCGGGGTTGAGCACCACACCGGTGCGTGCGGCAACCCCCGAGACCCAGTCGCATGTAGAGACGCACGGCCGGGTGCCCAGCGTTGCGGCGGCACCGTCCACCAAGCCGCCCCACTCCATTTGCTCCGCGCGCAGCACTTGAAGGCAGCCCTGAATGCACTGCCCAATCAGGACCACTCGTTCATCTCGCTGCAGTCGCAAGCGAAAGAGCATCTTCTGCGCCTCCAACCGTCGCACGGCGCGCAGTACGACATCGAGGGCCTTGTTGTATTGCATCCGCGCATACAAGAACTGGTGGAAGGAGCGCACAACCTGCCCGCGGAAGACGCGCTGGAGCAGCAGCGCACTCACCTCCTTTGTCTTGCGCAGCCGCCGCAGGTGCAGCCGCACCCACGGCACCAGAAGCTGGACGGCGTTGCTCTCTCGTATGCGCCGTCTCTGCTGACGACGACGCCAGGCGCACTGAATGAGAAACGCAGCGCGCGGGGCGTCCACGTCTTCGTAGCGGTGTCGCGCCCGGCAGGTCACCGCCGCCTTCCTGAACTGCGCACAGGCGAGCAGGATGAAGGCGGCGCGCACAAACGCCGTGACGGGGCTGCCGGCGAGGTTGCCGGTGCTCCTGCCGCTGCGACGCGAGCTGACGCTGCGACGAAGGCCGTTGCTACCGCTACTGCCCGCCGACCCAGTTCGTCCACTCGAGCCTCGCTGGGCACCGTCACTGACGCTGCTGCGGCGACCGCGCAGGCTGGACGGCACGCGTCGGATCGTCTGCTTTCGCTTCGGGGCACGCACACCAACTTGAATACGGTTGCGAAAAGACCGCGCCAGTTCTTGCTGCCGGGTCGACGCCTCTGTACCGTGGCCCGACGACAGGGACGCAGAGGACGGATGCTCTTTAATTATGAGCGACGACTCGAGCTGCGGAGTCGCGTCGGGGTCCACAATCGTCGGGGTGGGGGTGGAGCGCTGCGATTTTGTTTGCTCGTTCGTCAACAAGCCACTGCCCGCACCGCTCTCCGATGCCTTCAATGAGGGTGGTGTATTTGGCGACTGAAAAGGGCCATCGCCGCTCGCACTTCCTTTACGAGCCGCGCCACCGGCCTCCGCTGGCGAGGATGGCGACGCCCCTTTCTTGTCTCCTCCGACGTTGGACCTGCTGGGTTGAATGTTGGACTCCAGCGAGAGCGGTGGAGGTGCGGGACCCGCGCCACCCCACCCGCCCCGTTTTGCTCCGGGACTCGAATCGTGACGTTGCAGGTCTGCGCCGAGCTCCTTTTGGACGTTCCCCTCGCCGTTTGGGTCGGAGTCGGAGGTCGGCGGACACAGCGCCAACGGCTCCGCTCCGTCGAGGCTCACGTGCGAGGAGGGGAAGAAGCTGCCGCGGTGAGCTGACGGCGCGTTGTCGTCGTCGTCGTGGCTGCCGTCTTTCGACTCGGAGCTGCTGCTCTGGCGAAGAGAGGCGACGCTGCTCTCGCGAATGCTGAAGTTGCTGTCAGTCGTGCTGCTGCGTCCCCGTCTGCCTCTCTTATGCCAGATGTTTGCATCCAAGAAAAGACTGATGGACTCATTCCCGGTGGGGGAGAAGAGTTTCTGCGGGGCGACGGGCACCATGGGGAGCGGTGGCGGTGCCGCTTGACGGCCTCGACTGCCAACACCAAGGTTTAACTGCGCCGGCGGCGGCGGTGGGGGCGGAGGCTGCTCATCAAACGTTGAGGTGACCGTCGACACAATCGAGGTCGAGTAGAAGGACCGCTCATTGGGGCTTTCCGCGTCGTCGTCGCTATCACGCCACTGCCGGAGCGTGAGGCCGCTGCGACCTGTAGTGCCCGCACTCACGACGGGTGTGGGTGAGGGTTCAGTCGGGCTCCAGTTCGAGGCGAGGTTCCACGACCCGTGGCGGCCCTCGCTGCCGCTGCTACCGCCGGCGGAGCGCGTGCTATTGTCGAAAGGGGGCGGCGTGGGCGGCAGACGACCCCCCGCCGGTGACGGCGACTTCACCGTGGAGGTCAGCGGCGGCGGCACCGGCGGCGTCAGCGGGACGGCGACGGTGTCCGTCGTGGCGAAGAGCGTCTTGGCCGTCACAGACAATTGCGTCGAGGCACCGCCGGAGGAACGGCGGTGCACCTGCGACGGCGGTGGCGGTTGTGGCTTCCCCTGCCCACGCCGCGCGCTTGCGTCCGTCACGCCTGCGTCGGGGTGGCCGGTGGAGGAGGAGGAGGCGGAGGTCTGCCGCGGTCGCAAGTTTCCGCCGTGCGGCAACTTCAGCGGGGACGTAGCAGAGCCGCGTGTTCGCATCCGCTGGGCGTGCGGGGCACCTGTGACGAAGTCGTCCCCCGCGACGGCGACCAAGCCGCCGCTGCCACCGCTGCCGGAGTGCCGCTGGTCGCTGCCGCGGCGGTTTGCGGGGATCAGAGGGCCGCCCGGGATGGCGCCCGCGACAGCCGTGGTGCCGCTGTTGGACCAACTCGCACTGCGCCCGTCGAAGTGCAGTGCGGTGAAGCCCGCGTGCGGCGACGAGAGGGAGGCGGAGATCGGTGTCAGGTAGAGCTGGGTGAGGCTGCAGTGTATTTCGTTGATGGGAGAGAGCATCGTGACGGACGACGGGGGTGGGGCGGGGGAGAGGCGAATGGAGCCGGAGCTTCCTCCGTTGCCGCTGTTGCGCTTCGGTGCTGTTGTCGTAGCCACCGTCCCGCCCACCACGGCGTCTTTGCTCGGCTCGGGAGGCGACGGCGCAGGTTCGACCGGCGCGTTCTCGCTCGGTGCATCGGCCGGCTGCGTGACCGTAGCGCTTTCTTTGCGAGGCTTTTTATCTTCGCCACGTGGGGGTGGCGCGCTGGGCGGGGACGATGGCGCTGGCCCAACCGTCGCGGTTTCGGCGGCGGCGGTGGTGGTGGCGGGCTGCTGCTGCGTGGACTGCTTCCGCCGCGTCTTCTTTGCGGTGAGGGAGGAGGAGTTCCGTTTTGCTGCCACTATTTTTGGGCTGCTCATCTTGCGAGCTGCGGTGACCTCGCCTTTAAGGGAGTTTCGCTCTTTTGACGGCGGCGGCGCCGCGGTGCTCCGTCGGCGAGCACTCCGCATCCTTCTCGGACAGATCACCTGGAGGTGTATGCGTGTGGTGTGTATACAGCGTGAGTGGCGGATGCAGAAGAAGTCGATGGACAGCGAGACGAGCACCGGCAAAGCGAAGCGACGTGTTCTGAGAGGAAATATATATATATGATGATGAACACGGGCGAAGAGTCAAAATCCAAAAGAGCTGCGCTCAAAGATCAGTACAATGTAAAGAACACGGTACGTTGTATACATGAAATAGTAAAAATTCTCACACTGCGAGGTTTGGTAATGCTGTGCGAGTAGCGGGTGGGGGGCCTGAAAGAGAAGAAGAAGAAAGACTTCAATACAAAAACGGGGTATGTACATGTAAAACACACACCGTTCACGGAGACGTTAGGACGGCCCACGTGCTAAAGCGCCGCAGATGTGCGTGCGTGTGTGTGTGTGTTCTCAGCTGCAGCATTCAGCAACGTGAAAAGCGAGACGGAAGACGCATGCACAATCAACGCAGCAGCACCAGGGCAACATACATAAAATCATTGTAGAAAAGGAGAAGAGGCGAGCAGAGAAGTAAGAAGAAAGGGAGAAGGGAAGCACGCAGATGAAATGATAAAGCAGATCACTGAAAAAGTCTACCGACAGAAACACAAAGTTTGAAGTGCCGATATACATATATTATGTGAGAGAGTTGATCCGAAATGATAGGCCTTGAATCAGAATAAATCTTCAAATGCGTTCACCCTTTCGTGGATTCCCTTCGCTGTTTTGATTGTAAGAGATAAAAAGGAAACACACACAACACACACAGACGTGTGTGCGCCATGACGTGCGTACACCAATTAAAAGGCGGAGAGCCGATGTACAACATAATAATAATAATAGAGAAGAAATACACACATAAAGGCCGACTTTTTATCGTGAGAGGGACAGGACAAGTGGAGAATTGCTAGTTGGGATAAGAGGGGGAATCAAAAACCACAACGCGGGTCGATTCGCACGTCCGTGTCCCAACTCGCAACGTTCCTCCCATTCTAAAAAAACCAGCAACGTCAGCCTATTCCACTCACACACATCTGTTTAGAAAACAAACAAACAAACTCTCTACGCTACGTCCAGGGGAGGTGATTTGCAAAAAGAATGCCACCTATGATGCTCCACAGAATACTCCACATCAACATCAGCTGGCTGAGAAAGCTCGTTGGTCGCTCTGCCAGCTGCGCACCCAGCAAATAGTACAGCGCAGGGCTTGCCATGACAAAGCGGTTCGTTACCTGCACGTGCATCGCTGCGAGGGCCAAGGCGAGCAGGGCGAGCAGGTGCACTACGTTGGAGGAGCGAATCCACGGTAGCGCCGCCGCACAGAAGCGTGACCCAAACGATGTGACGTTGGCGCTGCGGGCGTTTGGCGCCGTCGCCCCCGCACGGGCCTCCCACGCGGGACTGAGGTACCAGGTGTGGGTGCACATGGCGACCAGCACGGCCACCGGCAAGGCCAACACCACGTTCGGCAGGTTTGTGAAGGTGTAGGCGGACAGGAAGCTTACGTTCCAGTACCTTTTCTGCAGCGTTGGGTAGAACTCCAAAAAGGCGAGGCCCGTCTGCGGCTGCTCAGACGCCCCCCTCGCGTGCGTCACAAAGCGGTGATAGCCGAGGTAGTTGATGGCCAGGTAAGGAAGGAACAGCACGACGCACTCCAGAAGGATCACGAGCGCGCGCAGAGGGTGCGGGAGGCGCCGCTGCGGACACGAGAGGGCACGACAGACGACTGCCTTCCTTGCGCGTGGTGTGGATGTGTTTGGCGGTGACCGCGCAGATGAACGTTGCGCCTGCTCTGCCACCTGCGAGGAGGTCTGACCAGGCAGGTCCTCGTTGGCTGGAGCTGTTGCTGCGGACAAAATCGCTTTGGCGCGCTGACCAGTCAGGGTGGTCCTGCACTGTGCTGCGTATAGCTCTGGCAGAATAAGCTGCACCACGACGGGGAAAGCAAGGAAGCCCGCATACGTGAAGGCGTTGGAGCGAAGGGTCGCAGCTAGCGTGAAGAGCAACAATGCCGCAGTCTCTGCAGGGGTGATCAAGACTTGCTTCCACACAACGGTGGGCCAGTTTCGAGAGCCCCCGGTCAGATCGCTCAGCACGTCGTCGAGCGAGGCAGGGCCCACGACGACGGCGTCCTCGTCTTCCGGTCTTCGTGTGGCGCTCGTGGTGGCGGAGGTAGTCGAGGGCCAGCCAGCCATTCGTTCCTGCACTGCCCACGGCAGCGGCTCATACCAGGCAAGGCAGTACACACCTAACATAGTGGTGAGGGCAAACAGGCTCTCTGTGTACACCGCCACTGTGAAGACCATGGAGGGGGTGAAGATCCACAGTAGCGCCGCCGCGCCAATGACGCGACGGCGGCGGCGCAGCTCGGTGCGGACCGCCTTCGTGGTGGTCGGGAGCGTCGCCTGCGGGTCTGCGGCGTCCAGAGACGTCCCGGTCAGACCGTGCAGCAGCCGGTAGCGAATAGCTGCCTCGGTGACGCGGGTGACAGAGGAAGACGAGGAGGCGCGTGACCGTCGCCGCCACCGACACGTATGGAGCACCGCCTCAGGGCCCAAGAAGGTTAAGATGGCGAGTCGTCGCAGCAGCACCCCGGCGAGGCAGGAGGCCACCACGTTGACGACACACACATACAGCGCTACAGGTGCCAGCTTGTGCAGCATCGGAACAGCCGTCTGCGTCACGTACGCCACGCCGCGGATGAGAGCCGGCAGACCGGGGAAAAACACAAGTTGGTTTTCGTAGAGGTAGCCGTAGTGCGCGATGAAGAACATGTGCACACCGTCCCACTGCCGCACCATGGCAAAGCGCGCATCGTCGTAGAGCTCCTCGCCCGTGTCGAAGATAAATGATCTGCCGGGGGCGCGAAAGAGCAGCGGCGCCGCGGTGCGACTAAACCACATTAACAACAGCAGTGACAACCGTGTCAGCGCAATCCAGCCGAAGAGGGCCGCGTCCGTGCAGCTGCCGAGGTAGTCCAGAAGGTTGAAAGGCGAACCACTGTACACCTCCAGAGTGGTCGCTGCCAGCCGACGTGCGAGGCCGCCCACGGCGCGCAGCGGTCCCGCGGAACTCATGACAAACGGTAAAGATGACGAAGTAGTCGATGAGTGAGATTCACACATGTACAAGCGACAGCAGCAGCAGCAGCAGCCACAAACAACAGAAGAGAAGTCAGTAAGTCAACGCAGCACAAACGGACGCGGTGAACGCGTCCTAGGCAAAAATGGTAAAGCCGTACCGTGATGCAACACGGCTAAGTAATTATATAATGTACGTGAAGGCGGTCCAGATGTACTCTGAAGGCTTCTCTCTCTCTAATGGAGGGGGGAGGGCGGTGACACATGTAGTGGAAGGCAGGGAGGCACGCGCCTGGTGGAATGCGGAAAAAAAAACCGAAGGAATTACAGAGATGGGAGAAACGACAAAAAGACGTCGTTGAAGAGATCAGGCAGGAAGGAGCGATGTGCAGCGGCGCCTCGCTTGTAGAACCAACTGCACGTTCATGAAATAAGAATCAGTGTTTGTCCGTAGACGAGTGAGAGCAGTCGATAACAGAGAGTGCAATTTCGTGTTGCTCCTTCTTATGGCGCTTAAATATGTGACGAGGATTGCAATTCCCCCCCCCCCAGCTACAATAACAACAACAAAAAAGACCCCTTCGCTTCGCAAGTGTGCCAACGAGGCGTTTAAAACAGAAGCGAAAAGCATGTTGGTGCGCGTCTTCCTTCCTTTTTCTGCTGTGCCGCCGTCAACGTATGCTTCGCCACGAGTGAGAGGAGCGCGCTCAGCCCCAGTCCTCCCCTTTCCCCCGTTCGTCATCGTGCTTCATCACGCTTTTTTCGTGAGAGTGGTGGTGGACGTACTCCATCATCCACTGCGCACGCGGACTGCCGCACTGTGGACAGCACGTTGGGTCATCCTGCCGCGCCTGCTGACGACGTCCAACGCTCGCAAGACGCTTGCGCCGCCACGGCCCGCGCTGCAGCTGCCTGTCCGCCGCCAGCTGCGCCTGTGCCTTTTCGTACTCAATCCCGCTCTGCTCCACCTCGCCCCCCCACAAGGTGCGTGGACGGGCGGCGTAGACGTGGAAGCAGCGGAGGCAGCGCACCAGCTGCGGTGCACTGCTCTTCACCAGCTCGTTCTTGACAACCGCGTTGTGCAGGAGGACGGCGTCTTCGGCGGCGCGATGCAACAGGGATCGACTTGGGTCGGCGTGGGCGAGCGTCTTTAGGGCGCTAACCGGGGCGAGAGGAACGGCCACGGTGGGGCTTACCTCCTGCACCGTTGGCAGCCGCCCTTGATGGGCCTGACGGAAGGCCTTGCGTTCTGCGTGATAGACACGAGGGTCTTTCTTTAATTTCACGTTGTGGTGCTGCCGGGCGTGCGTGAAGGCATCCCGCAAGGCACGCTGCTGCGCGTGCAGCTGGAGAGACGCGACTGCCGACACCGACGATGGTGCAGCATCGCTCGTGGCGCGACAGTGGCGTGCGGCAGAGTTGCGAGCGTTGACTTCCGTTCGTTGTTGCGCCGAGAGGAGCTGCGACGAGGTCACATAGGGGCTGGCCGCGTTTTCGTGTGCGCTGCTGTGCTGAGGAGACGCAACGACGGTATCGAGGCTTTCGGCGGTTGTGTTACGCTCTTGGGCCGCACTTGTACCATCGCTGCTGCCGATGCTGCCTCCCGCGTCTTGCAGCTGCTCCAGAAGGGATGTGCGCAGAAGAAGGGGGCGTGACTTTTTGAGCTGCCTCGCGGGCTGCGCAGCAACGCCAGCGGTGCCTCGAGAGTGGGAGAAGGTGTCAACGCGGCTACGATGCCGCTGGTGTGCATCGGTTCCACAATTTCTGGAGACGTAGAACGCACCTGAGGTGTGCAGCGGGGAGGCACGCCCGAGTTGTATCGACCGTGCCGAGCTCATCAGTTGATGATGTCGGCAAAGCACGGGAGAGCTGCCGACATGGTGGAGCATCGACTCTCGCGTGTGTGCGTCTCCACTTTTGTGGGAGTATCAGTGAGAAGGAACTAAGAAATACAGTGATGGGCAGAGACCGCAGTACCTGACACGGCGCACTGCGCTACCACCATTACCAGGTCCCATTAAAAAAACAAAACGGAGGGCAGACCAAGCAATCTAGCGAGCAATAACAGAGAAGGGAGGTTCAGCCAAACAAAGGAGGCGTGAGTACGAGAGAGCCCGGCGGCAGAGAAAACACCGACTCGGCTAACACACGCGCCCACAAACATCAGCAGCATTGTTTTTCTTTCTTTCGTTGTGGTGATGAGGAACAAAAGCACATGAAACCCTCACGAGCCAGACCCCCCTCCTCCCCCTTCCCAACTCGAAACTCGATGGGCGACATCATGGGAGGAAATGCAGCAAAACGCCGCGGAACACGTTTTCCACAGCTGCTGTCTCGGCCAGAGGATGTAACACCTTCTGAGCAACATCAATAAATAAATATATATATGTGTGTGACGTGGAGCCTATCTGCTATAGGGGCTTTTCTTTTCTTTTTTAGTGGCGGTTACGTACGCCTTAAATACGAGGAGAAGGAGTCCATCGAACAAAAACGCTCAGGACAGTCCGGGGTGTGTTGAACAGTTACTTAGATTTGTGTTACTCGTCAGAAAGAGAGAGAGAGGGGGAGAAAAGAAAAAAATGCCATAGCGCATGTCAACGCCACAGTTTGCCGCAGTCAATGCAACCTGCCCCCCCCCCCCACCCCACACACACACACGCAGCCACTACAACAATAACAACAGCACACAACCTCGCCTTAAGACGCAGTTATTCGCGATCGCTTCGCCTCACAGTTAAAAAACGCGGCAAACTGAGCCAATAGGGTCGACCGCGAAAGATTATTCGAACGGCTGCAACACGGTTTTACAAGACTTTTCCCTCTACTTCGCAGCCTTCTTCGCATTTTTGCTAGTCGTCTGCGGTTTCGACACCGGTCTGTCCTTTCTGTCGGATGCCGCCGACGTCACCGCTGCCTTCCGCACTTTCGCCGCAGCCGCTGAGGGCGGCGTGTCACTGCTGCGAGGACGCTTGTGACCCGCACGCGGCGGCGGCTCTTGATAGGTGTGACTGCGACCCACTTTCCCCGCATCTCCGCCCTTTCCCTTTAGATTCTTCATCGTCTTTCCTGCAGCCTTTCGAGACTTAAAGGACTTAGACATGTGTCGCTGGTGCAAAGAAGCACGTTGGAGATCGTGCTGATGCGCGTGCGCGTGGTCCTCGTCGTCGTGATCATGTCCACCGTCGTGGCCGCGGAGGTCGCGATTCCCCTTCGTTTTCGACTCAACAACAAAAGCACTCGCAGGGGCTGGAAGCAGTGCACCGCGAGCCACCTGCACCACGGCGGCGTGCAGCTGCTGACTCTTACCCAGCTGCCGCTGCGCGGAGATGCCCACCACGTGCAGACTGGAAGGAGCCAGCGCATCGTAGAACATCATGCCGCGCTCCCGCAGCGCCGCACGCACGACGCGGACGGCGTGGGCAGCCGGCTCTCGTTCCACGAGTTGGTTGATGTACTCGCGGCTGCTAGTCGCGGCGTCGAGCTCGTCGAGCTGCCAAATACGCACGGGAGAGCCCGCAGCCGCAGCAGCCACTTCCTCCGCAGAGCGCCCGTCCGCATCGCTGCTCGTGAAGGATGAAGAGACCCCCACCGACGCCGCACCCGCAACAGCAGCGTAGGCGTCCATGCGCAGCGCCCGATCGGGCTGTAGGATGAGGCGAGGGTGGAACTTCACGGCGAAGTCGAAGGCGGCCGGGTTCGAGGTGAAGGCTTCCACCTCGCCCGCCGTCGCGTTGCGGCCCTCCAAGTGGCGCAGCAGCACCGCAACCACCGACTGGGCGAGCTGCACCAAACGGCCCATAATCATCGGCCGCGGTGTCAGCACCGTAAAGGGGCTCGCCGCGGGTGCGTACGGTGTTGCGATGAACATCCCCTGCTGATCGCCCAGCTTGCGCACGAGGGCCGCGGCGGCCACCGCCGTTTTATCGCTGTCGTCGTCCGTAAACGGCAACACGAGCGGCTTGGACCAGTCGTGGGTGGCGAGGAGCTGCACAAAACGTAAGAACCCTCCAGCGGGTGTCTTGGGCGTGTTGGCGGGCTGCAGGTACGCGTTGGCCACCAGCAGCTCCACCGCCTCCGGCTGCACGAACTCGTAAAGGCACATCGCACTCATCCACCGCTTTGCCAGCCGCACGGCGTGGGAGTAGCTGTGGTGGCCGAAGGCGATCGTCTTCAAGAACTTTGCGTGCTGGGCCGTCCAGTACAGTTTCATCTCTAGCACGTTCGCCTCCGTCTCGCGCTGCAGCGCACGCAGCAGGGAGACCTCGCGGTAGTGGGCAATGTAGATACGGAAGAGGTAGCCACGGTAGATGACGTCGACGGACTGGCTCGTGCATTGCGTGCGAATCGCGCCTTTCACCAGTTCACCATCGGCCTCCGCCTCACTGCCAGGTCCACGTGCGTGCCGCTTCGCCTTCGCCTTCGCCTTCTTGCCGCTCTCCGCACTCGTCGCCGTCGCCGTCTGCTCACCAAAGTGCGCCTGCAGCGTCTTGGCCAGCTGCGCCGCAATCGCGCCCTTCATCATCGCAATCGCCTCCATCGTGTCCGGGATGGATCGGTTGTCGTCAATGCTCAGGACGCAGTGGATCGGCTCAATCGTCGGATCGGTGCTCAGCCCCGCAAAGCTGGGGTCCTGCAGGTTGTCTGTCGTGTAGGTCAGCGCCAGGTGCGGGCGGGCCGGAAACACCTCCGTGTGCCTCTCACTCGCCGCGACGACGTCGAAGGAGACGATGCGGCACGGGACGCTGCCGTGCGGCAGGTTCTGCAGCATGTGCTGCACCGCCTTGGTGGCGTCGAGCAAGCTGCGTTGCATGAGCGGGGCCGCGTCCCGCCACTCCGCCCCGATGCGTTCGGATAAGTAGCCTTCCAGGCCACCAAGCAGAACGTTCACCTCCGCCTGAGCGGCGACGTGTTTGCGCAGCGCAAACTCCACCACACGCCGCAGGACGGCCGAGGCGGAGAGGGCGATGGTCGTGTGGGTACCCTCATCCTCCGGGAAGGTCCACAGGACGCAGCGGTAGATGGCGCCGTCGCTGAACTGGCGGGTGGAGGTGAGGTCCGCCCCCCAGAAGGCGGTGAAGCGCTCCACGGCGGCGGCGTCTTCGATGGCCGGGCCACGGGTGAGGCGGTTGCGGCCCTCCGCCTCACTGGTGAGCTGCACCACGACCTGCAGGTGGTCGTCGTCCGTCTGCCACGCGGTGACGAAGCTGGCGCGGATGCCGAGGGCCTCGCGCAGCACGCGGAGGGGTTCCTCCATGGCGGCCACCCGCGGCGAACGCCACAGGCCACTCTTCTTCACGGCCGTCTCGCTGCGCTCCGTAGCCGCGGCAGCAGCAGAAGAGGAATTAGCGGACGCGTGCAGTCTCACCGTGAGGGCCACATCGTAGCGTAGCGGCAGCGGCAGGAAGGCGACGCGGTCGACCACCTCCATCGAAAAGGGGTGCTGCAGCGCCTCCTCCGCGGCGGGCCGGATGACGTGCTGAAAGAAGGCGGTGGAGGTGTGAAAGAGGATGTTGTGCACCTCGCCGGCGAAGCGCAGCACGCACATCTCGCCCTGCTCCTCCGCCAGCGACACCTTCACAGGGCGGGCGACCGCCGTCGCCGAGCCGGAAGCGAAGAACCCGCGCGAGAGTTGGACCCACACCGCACGCACCATGTTGTCCAACGACATACTCGCCGACACGATGCCCTCCTCCAACAGCCGCAGCACCATCGCAGCAATGACGAAGCCGTTTAAACCTTCTGGGTGGCCTGACGCGGCGGACATGAGCCCTGTGTGGTGCGCCCAGCACTTCAGCACCACGATGGCACGGCGCACGCTGGCGCTCGCGACGCACACCTCGTGCAGCTTCTTCAGGTAGTGCGGCATCAGGTAATCCTCCAAGATGCTGTAGCTGTAGTAGGGGTGCTTGCGCACCGCCGCGGCGTTCACTGTGCGGCCCGAAAACATGGAGGGTCGGAAGTGCAGGTTGACGAAGAAGGTCTCGTACACGGCAGGCTGCGCGCGGCGACGGAAGCGCAGTTTCAGAATGTTCTTTCCCTCCAACGCATAGCAGCCGTGAATGGGGGCCACGGAGACCTCCATCCGACTCAGGCGTGCGGCGGCCGCCATATTCGCCGCCTTGGCCGTTTCGGAGCGTCTCGAGGACGCAGTCTTCTTCGTACGCGACGACGGCACAGCCTCGCCGTCGCTGCTTTCATTGTCGCCGTCGGAGTCGGCTGTGGCGGCCGCAGCCGTAGTAGACGAAGACGCCGTAGCTGCCGCGGCGCGCTTCGTGGCGCCGCGAATGAGCTGGGCCAGGTAAGCGTGAATTTCCTCCAAGAAAGCCTGGCGACGCTCCAGGTACAGCCCGTCTTGCAGGTCAGCGGCAGAGCAGCAGCTGGCCGGGATGGACAGCACGAGGTCGGCCCCCACGCCGCGCTGCGCGTGCAGTTCTGGAAAAGGCGTGTCGTACACACAGGTGCGAAGGAGGAAGCTGCCGGCGGGGCTGACTGCGTCGATGGTGGCCGCCGCTGCTGCACTTTCATCTTCACCGTTCGCATCTGCCGCTGCTTGACGACCCTCGACGTCGGTCTCGTAGCCGCTGCTCTCGTAGTGCTGAATGAGGGCGCTGTGGATGTCGCGCAGGTGCGTCTCCACCCGCTCAACAAGCGAGTCCGACCACGCGAGGTTGTAGTTCTGCAAGGCCATTTACACCCTATGTGTGAACCAGTTGGCGCAGAGGAGGAAAGAGGAATAGTCAGAGGGAAGTGAAGTTCTCAAACCGTGTTCAAATGGAAAGCTTCGTAAACGCGCTGTTACGAAGCAGCAGACTAACGAATATGTTTGGCGAGTGATAATAATATGAGACGTTGTGGCACAGAAGTGAGAGGAAGAGGAAAGCGAAGAGGAATTGAACGGCAAACGCGCTGGTGGAGAGGGAGGAGACAACTCAAATGTGGTTGCAGTCGAAAACGCAGGTAGGCGCGGCATGACGGTGCTCTCCGAAGGTTTGCGTTCTTTACCATCATCCTTCAAGAAAAAATGAACGACAACGTTGGTGCGCGTACACACCCACAGCCCCTAAATGATCGTATTAAGCCAGATTCGTGGCGTAGAGGTCTCTAGAAAAACAATAACATCAGTAGCAAAGAAGACATCAGCGTACTGACAAGTGAAGAGAGGGAGAAAGCACGTTCGGGGCAGTTGTAGACGCTAAAGAACCTAGAGGAAAGGAGAGAGACGACGGGCTACGACTACACAATTTGGAGACTACACAAAGGTTCGCCGATGCGGAACATAGCCGGCAGCGTCGCGCCTCACACCTCCGTCGTCACCGGTCTTCTCGCACGAGGACGTCGGTGGAGTCTGAATGAACGAATCCCCACGCGAGTCACGACGCCGCATCTGGAGAGCTGCCGTTGAATGCGCTCGGTTGTGCATCTCCTCCCCTTCTTCGTCCTTTAAAGTGTCAAAGAGACAGTGGGAGCCAAAAGCGACGCGCGGCCACGAGGATGTCGGCGGAGATCGCACGTTGCCCCGAGAGCGTGGGGAGGGCGAGGGGACAGGGGAAGAGGGAGCAGGAGCAGGAGGGGTGGCGGCCTGTCTCTGACGTTGCCGCTGCGCCATGTACGCGTCTACCTTCGCCTTCACCCGCTCGCTCGCGTTTTCATGAGCTCCGGCACTTCCGGTAGGCGGTGCAGGGAGACTCGAGGAATAAGCTAAACTGTGGTCCAAGTAGGAGGCGGAGGTCGGAGAAAGAGAAGGAGGAGGAGGAGACTGTGGCTGACGCCGCCGGGCTTCCTTCATGGCGTCCTCGGCCACTGCGCTCGCTCGCCGCTCGTGCTCCTCCTGCTGATCGCGCAGCTCCTCCAGCTGGTGATGCAGGGTGCGGCGTTCATGCTGCCACTGTGCGGCTTCTTTGCGATGGTCGCGCTGCAGGTGGTCCACAAAGTCCGTCATGCGGGTGTCGTACTCGTCGAAGGCCGTCTGCACCGCCTCCAGTTCTGCCCGGTGTGCGCGTCGAAGCCGCTCTTCCTGCTCCTCCAGCAGGTGCGCCTGTTCGCGTCGGAGGCCATCGATGTGCTCTTGCGCGTGCGTGTACGCCGCTTGCCACTCCGCACACTGCGCGCCGCGCTCGGCGAGGGCAGCACGCAAACTCCGCACGTCGTTCTTCACGTCGGCCAGCTCGCGCAAGAGCGCCTCCTGAGCCTCGAGACTGCGGCGCAGGCGGGCCACTGTTTCTGATGGCCCTGCAGGCTCTCCTTGGAGCCCCTCCACATGCACTGGTGTGCGCACCGTCGCAGAGGGGGACGAGGAAGCAGCCGTGTTGTGTGCCGTGTTCGACCCTGCGCGGGGAAGGAGTCGGCTGGACACCGGCGCTGCAGATGTGTCCGTAGGACGATCATTATAGGAGGAGAGGGAGGGCAGACGTGCAGGCGGGTTATAAAGATCCTCCGCATATTTGTCCATGAGAAGAACTCGGTCCCCCTCTGCGTGGCGCTCCTGCGCAGGCGAGGTTGCCAACGGGGACGGCGTGTGCCGCGCCTCGCTGTCCCGTATCGTTTCCCATATCGTTGGCGTTTGCTTTTCCTCCACTGGCGGCATCGCTGCTTCATCCTCCATTGGAGGTGTGCGACGACGGCTTGCGCTGGTGTCCTGCGATGCAGATAAATGGGTTCGAGGCGCAGTGTCTGAAGCCTCGACGGTGGACGAGACGAGCGGGGGCGGCGGCTGTGGTGGCTCTCGGAGGGGAGCAGCACGCAGCGGTGACGGCGTGCGCCCCTCCGATGGCGCCTTGTCATTCGTCGGTGCGGCGTTGCTTGTGTGTGTGGGTGCCGCTGCGGCAGCCGGTGGTTCCTTCGCCTTTTGCGACTGCTGCTGCTGCTGCATCTGGGGCGTTGCATCCGGTGAAGGGCGGGTCGGCGCGTGCACAGGCGTGAGCGTCACCACCTCCTCTGCCGTGTGAACACTGCTCGCCTTGGAAGAAGGCGGAGGCGATCGAGACGAGGGAGGGGAAGAATGGGAAGAGGCGTGCTCCCGCGTGTGCAATGCACCCGCCTCCTGACCTCTCGCCCCACCGCTACGCAGCTTTTCGGCGATCTCCTCTGCGTTGTAATTATTATTCTTGCCGTTGACAGCGTCCCTTACGGCGACTCTACCAGCGTTGCGCACCCGAAGCGAAGGAACTTCAACGTCGGCGCTAACGGTCATTGGGGGAGGGGAGGCAACGTTGGTGCTGCGCGGCGAGGAGGGCGAGAGCTCCACCTCGTCCACGGCAGTGTTCTCGGCAACGTCACTCCCCGGCTTCTTCTGCGTCACTCCTTCTTTTTCGTCCGCGTCGCGCTCCAGCACACGCGGCACGATCGGATCGGCGCGTCGCGCCGGCGGAGCAAAAAGCAGCTCGCCCATCGCGTTTGTCGGTCCGTCTTCGTCGGGCACGTTGAAGACCGCGCTGGCCGAAATGTGCGGCGACGCACGCAGGGCCGCGACGAAGTCTACGCCATCCTCGACACGCAGCAGCTGAAGGGCCAGCGGAGCCTCCGACGCGATGCCGAGCGTGGCGATGACGGCCCACTCGGCGGGAGAGACGCCAGTGCTGCTCTGCTGGTCACTGCTGGATAGCGCGGCGCTCGGGCCTGGCTGCTGTGTCGGCGGTGCAGCACTCTTCGGGGACGCGGGGTGGGTCTCATCCACGTCCTCTTCGTACCGGTGACGAGATCTGCTGGCGCTCTTCTTTTCGGAGTCTTTGGCCCCGCCTCTGCCACGCGAGAAGACGGAGGCAAAGAAGGAGCCCGGAGACCTCGACGGTTCCTTCTTGGCTTTGTTAGGACTGGAAGGAGGTGCGACGTCGGTAGCATCGCTAGCATCGCCGCTCACCATGTCCTCGCGCGGACTCAGCGTGATCCGCTCAATGCATGCGACCGCGATGGTGCGTGTGATCCCGCCAGAAGGGAGGCAGACGTACACGTTCTTCTCCGTCACCACCACTAGCCGAGGCAGACTGCTACCGTCTAGCCCCAGCTTCAACACCTGCTTCTTGAACACGACACCATTTCCCGCCGCGGCGTCGTGCGGTGAGAAGGGCGGCCCGGCGTGTGTGCTACTGCTGTTCATGCTCGTCAAAAGAGATGGGTTTGTTTTGGCTACGTCTTGAAGTCTGAACAAAGTTCTTCGATGAAGGAAGGAGCGAAACGAAAATGCCGAAGACCGACGCTGCGGTCAACGAGCAGTCGCTTGAGTTGCTATATATATATATATATAGTAGTCTGAATATGAAATCGTTGTTTGCGCAACGTTAACTGTCTCTTCAAAAATGTCAAGTACTTCCGCGTCTATCAACGGTGCAGAGGCGCCTTCCTTGTACAACAGCAGCAATCGGACATTCAAGTAGGGCCGAGTCGATAGCCGCAGATGAACACGCCAGGGTGCGAGGTTTTTTGAGAGTGACAACGGCAGGAGTTGAGAAGAAGAGTTCGGAACAGTTCGTACGCAGGAAAAGCGGTGCTCCTCCAGCAGAAAATGTATGCCGCGTTGTAGCGCGCGGCAGCCGTCAACCATGCAGCGCCTCCAGCAGAGGTTTTACGCTTCAGATACTTCACATACGAAAGAAGCGTTTCCTTCCATCCACGGCATCTTTGCGAGTTGGATCAGAATAATTGGGTGACAAGGTGCGTGTAGTGTAAAAAGCAGAGGAGACACGCTGCCAATATGCCGTGTGGCCGCCGAGGCTGCGCTCCGTCATTCAGGCACTGCGCTATCAAGGCACCACACTTGCACACGCCCATCGCTGTTAGCGGAGACGAAAGCGCTCGTGTTTGGCCTCACCTGCTTCTCCCCAGTCGATCCCACAGCCGTTGTTGTACCAGCGTGAAACAGGGGGACAAGCAACCGAGTCAAACCGCTGGCTTTGCGCCGAACAAATGGCGGTGCGCCCGCCGCTGGTGCTGGTGCTGGTGGAAGACCACCACTCTTCTCCATGAATTCAGCGGCCCGTTGGCGCACCGATTTCTCGTTGTGCGTCACCTCGACAACGGCGGCATTGCCATCGTCGGACGCATGGCGGCTCTTTACACTCACGTTCGTTTCGTGTTGGCTGCTGTGGGTTGGTGTCGCACCCGGCATGGCGGACGGCGGAGCCCCTGTACCGTCGAGCTGTGCCGCCGTGGGGGGCTTTTCGCCTTCATTGTCCTCCGCGACAAGGTGCCACGTGCCATCCTGTGCGGCGCCAAAGACGTTCACGCGTCCTTCAAAGCCGGCGGCGACAAGCGAGTTGTCTGACGTAAACGCACACCGCACCAGCGGCAGCGTTCGCAGGCGAAGAGTGGTGTGCGTCAGACGACCGTCACCCGAAGGTGGGTTGCCAGATGCAGCTGATGGCGATGAGGTAACACCATGCAACACGTGCAACACGCTGTCATGACCCACGGCGGCCAGAAACCTACCGGAGGGACTCCAGGAGAGGTCGTGCAGCCAACAAGGAAGGGAGCAGCTCCAGTACACATGCCCGAACGGCTCCTTAGAGGTGCGGCTTCCCGCGCTGCATTCACCTTCTCCCTCACCTGCTGGATCGGAGGTCTTAGAAGTTGGCGTACTCGCAACGCCGCCGTCCACAGCTTTCATGCGCGTTGACAGAATCTGCACGGTTCCGTTAAGGAGGGCGATCGCCACCTTTGTGTTGTCCGCCGGATGCGGTACAACCGTCACGATAAGGTGGTCGCGTGGGGCGGTGAAAGAGGAAAGGAAGGACAGCGCGCTGTGCAGTGGATATTCCGTATTCTTCATTGCCTCCGTGTGCGCATGAACATCGTGCGGCGCGGGAGAGTGACTCGTGAGGTGGTGAGGCTGTGCGTTGAGCAGTATTCTGCATATCCACCACCTTTGGTGTACGTCGTAGCGGCCCACGGCGACGGTGCCACCTGCGGTGCCGACGTACACCTTGCTGCCGTGTACACTCCAGGCCACTGTGGTGGGCCGCAGCAGCACCTCGGTGCTCAGCATCACGAGCTGCGGCACCGCATTGAAAAGTCGTGCGTCATGGCAAGACGAGGACGATGCCGATGCGTTCCTCTCGTTGTCACCCGTGTCTTGTCGGCTCCAAACGTACACGCATCGATCGGCATCGCCGGACACCAGCGCACCGCCAGCACTGCTGCTCCACGACAGTGCCGTGATGGGGGCGGTGTGCACGCCTTGGATGACTTGGGTGACAACCCAATCAGAAAAGGGGCGAACGCTGCTTGCGCTCGCTCCTGCGGTCGGCACACTCGCATTTAAATCCTGAGTTCTTGCGATAAAGATGCAATGAGCGGGGTCCGCGGCGCCGTCGCGGGGGAGAGCGGGGCGGCGACGAACGACGTAAGCTGCATGCGTCCCGTCGGTGCTGAACGTGAGTGCCGTCAGCTGAAGCGTTGACGACGCGCCGCGTCCATCATCTGCCTCTCTAAAGCTGGAAGAGAGACATCGTAGGGAGACCATAATAAGGTGCTGTTGGGGGCGGGGGGATACCAAGGAGCCTGTGGTCGTCCTCTTTCTCTTGCACGTCGCAAACGTGTGCGCCGAACGTGCCGGTGCTTGCAAAGAGGGTGTTCAAACCTCTCTTATATGGGGGGTTGTAATGGCTTTTCGCGCAATGAAATACCAACAACGATGCCAGCGTAGAATGAAAAATGAAGAGGCAAACGACAGATGATGAAGAAGGAGGAATGGGGTCGGCACTTCAAGTGGACTGAGAGGCGGGGAGGGAAGGAGGTAGGTGGTGGGTGGAGATATTAGCGGAGAAAACGCATACAACACAGCTCTTGTTGTTTCTCTCTCTTTCTCCCATTCCCCGCTTTGAGAATCCTCCATATGCGAAGCCGAGTGGAAGAGCGCTCCTCTTTCATCACGTCTATTCACTACGCAGAACACAACACCATTAGGAGCTCCAGAGGGCTTTAGAAGCTTGCGGAGTTCACCTCGAAACGCCACCGCCTTCTTCTCTCTCTCCTTGCTATTATTTAACGAACGATTTATGTGAATAAGCTGGTCCCGAAGAAAAAGGACATGAGTACGTCGCATGATCCCACGAAGTGCCGTTGTTGCCGCTGCGTAACATCCTCAAAAAAAAAGGGAGGATGAAAGTCGACTGTTAGTCGTTCAGGAGAGACATGAGAAGCGCGGCATCCATCGCCCCTTCCTCTTCCGCTCCTCTCCGTTTCGCCGCGCTGCCTCGTGACGAAGCGGAAAGCGCCGTATCGTGCGATCTTGTGTGTTCGTCACCGGAGGTGCCGTCCTCGATGCTCACACCAGCGTCAGTGCCCATCATCGGATGGTGGGTGGACTTTACGGGATCGAGAAGACTCTGGTACAGTTCCGCCGCAGCATCCGCGCGCACGGCCACCGCTTCAGCGGCTACATCCTTCGCGACGTCCGCTGTCGTTGGCGCCTCTGCTTGCTTCTTCGTTACGTCGCCGCGTGCCTTTTGCCGTTGCTGCTGTTGATGTGTGATGGAGAGGCTCGGCGGCACCCAGTTTGGATTCGTACGCGGGTTGTGGTAGGACACACGCCGCAGCGCAGCTTGCAGCCCAGCCGTAGAGCCGTCGCCGCCCTTCGCTTGCTTCAACGCCACCACGTACTTTCCACACTTTTCGTAGTTGGCGGACACCAGCACAATCGATGCGGCGGGATGGCGCGCGTACACGCTACTCGTGTCGGGTGACGTCATCGATGTGCCATCTTCTTCTGGCAGACGGGCGAGGTGAAGAGCCACAGCAGCGGCGCGGGCAAACAGGTCGGTAATGCCAACTCCGTACCGCCGCGTTTCACGACTCCACGCGAGTTCCTCCTCCAGGGACACCAAGTGCACCACGTCGCGGTGATCTGCGAGAAAGCGCAGGAGACGACGTCTGCGGTGCTCGACGAGGGCGTCGTGCTCCCCCCCGCCGGGGGTCTCCCGCCACACCGGGTCGAACAGACCCGCGGAAGGCCCCTTCGCCATCGCGCCCTCCACACGACGCCCCCCGCCTTTCTGCAGCGCCAGCACCGCCGAGTAGGGGATGACGAGCACGGAGTAGTGCGACATAAACGGCATGACCCATTCATCCACGTTGGCGAGCACATCGGCAGCGAGAACAGCAATGCAGAGCCGCTCCTTCTCCGGCACGCGGATGGGGGCTTGCGGTGGCATGCCGGTGAAGGCGTTCATGCGCTGCTGGGCCACGCGGACAAGAGGGGTGAGGTACGCCTTCAGCCGCGGGTCCTGCGTCGGGTCGACGCGCAGGCGCAGCAGGGCGTGCTCGAGCGCGCGCACGTACAAAGGGTACTGCGCGAGCAGCGTCGGCTCCAATGCCACGCCGTCCGCGGAGGTGCTCAGGGCGAACGCTTCGCCTATCCCTTCAAAACTGCTATGGCCGCCGCCCTCTCTATCCACGGAGGCGGAGAGACGCGCCAGGGCCCGCAGCGCGTCCTCGTGCACGTCAAAAAGCTGCAACGCGGTGCGCGACCCTGCCGGGGCCTTCGCCACCGCCTGCATCACATAGGCGTAGGTGTGCGGCGTGGGCGTGATGTCGTAGCGCTGCGTCATGAGCTCCATTATCTCTTGCGCCTCACGCACCGTCACGGCGCTGGCGAGCACGGCGTGGAAGCTGGCACGCGATAGCGGGGCGCCGGCCTCCACGAGCACGTCCAGCGTCTTGCGCGCGTCTGCGCCGTAACCGGCGGTGGAGTAGGACAACAACAGGTTCGTGTACACGCGCGGCGTGAAGTTCGCCACGCCGCACACCTGCCGCGCCTCGTGGTAGAAGGCGAAGGCCTGGGTCGGCGCTCGGGTGGAGGCGCAGCACGCGATGAGGGCAGCGTACGTGTCAGAAGTGGGGGTGAGAGCCCCATCCCGCAGCCGGCGGTAGAGGGAAAGGGCGATAGACATGCGCTGTGGCTCCTCCGCGGCACGGCTGGCAGCGTCAATGAGAGCCGTGTAGAGGGGCACGCTGACCGGCACCGCGGCGGCGGCCTCACTCTCCACCAACAGTGCACGCAGCTCCGTAAACTCCGTCGTTGTGCGGCTGCTGTGCGCGACAGCGACGAGGGCCGCCGTGAAGTCCGCCGGTGTTGCGGCAAACCACCCCGCCGTCACGTGC